TGATTTTAAAAAGATGTTCAGACAAGAGAAATATGACCTTAAATTACAAATAATGCTTAATCTCAAGGATGTGTTTTTTTGTTTCACTGCATGTGTAAGTTCATGAGCCACTACTCTAAAATTGCTGCACACACACTATACACCCTGTTAGGGAGATGCACCCGAGATACTGTATCTCCTCCCATCACAAGTACCCTTCAAAGCGTTAACATTTTCCTCTTCTTCTCTTGTTCTACATGAAGCAGGGCAGCTGACACACAGGCTCACAGCAGCTGTGTGCATGCATGTAAATGAAGAATTGAGGCGTGAGCATGCATACAGTTACTCTGTGCTTACCAGTCTCGTGTACATGGGTTTCATTTAAGCTTTTGACCTTCCAATGATTTAAAATCTCCCATTCTGTAGATATGTGGTAAATCACGCAATGAAGAGATCCCTGCTGCTTCAGATGGTAAACACAGGCTCCACGTTTGGGGTCTTTCCATTAGTGCAGTTATTTCCTGTTAAATCCTGTCCTGTGACCGGACTTGTGTCGATGAGCTCCGTCAGCATTCTTGGGTTGTGCAGTAGGATAATTAATGGCCTCAACCTTCAGACTGTAGTTATGCAGTAAGCAAGAGCTATTTGCCTCTCATAGGTTTGCGGCGCCATTTGGGAATTGATGAAATGTAGACTGCACGCCAGACTATAAATCTACAGCTCAGTAGTCATCAGTCCGATGTTTTTTTTTTGCATCTATTCTTCCACATTATAAAATGTTACTGTTGCAGTTGCTGCAGTTTTCAGTTTTTAATCGTTTCTTTTGTTTGCCGCTCATCGAGAGTGTTCGATTGGATACACCGCCAGAGTTGTGCTGCAGAGCTCTGGGGACAGTGATGAGTTGCACTGCACAGTCTCTCATTTGCTCGTGGAGAGCTGAGCGCCGCGTTACTGGCTTTAACCTGCTGTCTCCTCTTTTCGTCTCTCTGTGATGTATCACACGGGACGTAAGGTGCCAGTTAGTAATTACTGGCGAGCAATACACTCCCCTCCCCTGGGACGCATCGCCGCTCCTCATCTACCTCCTTCCCTCTTCTTGCATTCCCTTTCTCCGTCCACATTCCTTCAGCTGCAGAAACAGTCCCCCCCCCCCCCTCCCCCCTCCCTCGCTTTTATTATTTTCCAACCACAGGTGATGCAAAGAGGTATTTCCCTCCAAGTCCCTCTATGGAAACCTTTGGTTCTAACATGTCAACAAAAGCTAAAATATATTTCATGCAAAAAATCTGACATTTCGAAACCAAAGGAGACTTGAATCTATTTTTTTGTGCCATGGGACTTTGGCCCCTCATTAGCTCAGGGAACAATGTGGTGATTGCAAACAAGCCCAAGGATGTTTTAGATTTCAAACCTAATCTCATCCATTAGGGAACAATAAGATAAGCCTTCCTTGTTTCAGCTCGCACAACAGCATCACTGCCGGTGTGGCCTGTGGGAGTGTACATCAGGTTTTTTCAGTCAACACTAATGCATATTTTCGACAAAAAGGGGGCCCAGGGGAACCATTAGTTGCTCGCCAACCCAGTGTTCTGGAAACGAGACATGCAATTATTATAGTGTTATATCGTTTAGTATAGTTGTAGTATTGGAATTATTATAGGAGTATAGGATTTATCGCAGGGTTGTTGTTAGACTAAGCTTATAAAGGATGCAAATGATCTTTGTGTTTGAATCAACATTCATCTTTAAACAAAGAAGGATGGTCATGAGATTTACTAATTAAATACATCATTTGGTGGAGTCTGATTTCTGCAAATAGTTAAGAACTGAAAACTTCTTGTTGACTCTGAACTGTAGAAAAACTGTAATAACCAACTTTATAAAAGTAAGCTCTCTGGTGAAAAACTTCTTAACTCTTTCTGGCACTAGTTCCCCCTCGGATCAGGCCCTAATATGTTTAAATGCCATCTTCAATCCAGAGAGGCAGGACATTTGTCCCCTGTGCTCGGCTGCTTGACGTGAACGTCTTTCTGCCACGGGGTGATGGCAGCCTGTCCTCAGGGACGAGCAGAGGGACGAGCAGGGGGACGAGCAGGGGGACGAGCAGGGGGACGAGCAGGGGGACGAGCAGAGGGACGAGCAGAGGGACGAGCAGGGGGACGAGCAGGGGGACGAGCAGGGGGACGAGCAGGGGGACGAGCCTGACAGCGGTTCGGCCACGAGACTACCGCATTACAGTCTCCCACATCTTATTCTCCTGCTTCCTCTCTTCCACTCCCTCGCCGCTCGCCCTTTTACGCTCAACACAAAGAGGGAGTGAAGGGAGACAAAACGCCAGCGTGCGCATGCTGAGGACCGATGGAACATGGGTGCGTGTTTATGTGTTGAAGTAGTCCCGATTTCATGAGCTGTGACTGTTAAATGGCACCCAGCCCGTTTCAGACACTTCAGACATTTGCTTAAATTGACTCATCAACATCGGAGCAGGAGGGTCCAGCAGAGACACGCTGGGAACAGACGTGCATACAGGTCCATGCAGAGTGTCCTCTGAGGTGGTGGCCAGTGGGCGACGGGGGGAGGCGGACCGCCCTTGAGGCATGACTGGCGTGGTAATGGGCCCCAACCGCTGCCTCGCAGAGTCGACTTTGCTACGGAGAGCCATCCATCCAAATCTGTGGTTGGGAAGGAGGACGTTGGACATGGGGGGGGGGGGGAGGGGGAGCAAGGCAGTGCGTGACTGATGCACAGAAAGCGTAGCGCAGGTATTTATTTAAACGCTGTCTTCACTTTTTATTTCTGAGTGATATTAATTCGATAGAATATGTTTAGCTTCAACGGTTTTCATCTCCAGTAATCAAACGTCAACAAATCTGTGCTGGTAAATGTGAGTGTTTGTTTTTTAGTGGCATTTCTTACAGATAAAGAACTCATTTGTAAAAATGAGCATCATCATTTACTGAAGGGCTGCAGATGTCTTCACATGTACATGCCGGGTAATTTAATTTACCCATGAACATCCCACTGCACATTAACCTATTGTGATATTGGAAAGAGTTGTCAGCTTAAGCCAATCCAGAGTTATTTGAAATGTGTTCGATGCTCTCCAGTTACAGCGATAGCATTCCATTTTTTTAGTAGATATTTTGCCAGAAGATTGCAAAGATTTAAGGTGCATCAGATTTTCCCACCACTGGTTACCTTTTGGTTATCTGACAGAAAGGTGCCTATACCCTTCTGGTGGACCTGGGACCTTATTTCAGGAGAAATATGAATGCTGCAGTAGTTATTTTTCAGAAACTACAAGCGCACGCTAAATAAAACGATCCAACCCATAAACCCAGCGCAGAGTTGGCAACACTTTTCCCATGACAGAAACTAGCAGAACCAGCTGCACAAGTTGGCAACAACCGGTTACCAATATAATATTTTTTCTTTTCCACAAGGAGCTTTTATTTTATCTTCTGATCACCTTTGAGGGAAATAAAAAATTCTCCTTCTGTGTCCCGGGGCACAGACGTACGGGCTCGTGGGAGGAATTTCAAACTACATCAACTGGCCAACTAACTTGTCTGTTTAAAGCTGCGCTGTCATAGTCACATGCTATCAATATGAGGCTTATTTCATTATCCTATTTGACTGAACTTACTCACCACCTCCACCGTGGCAGTCCCTTCCACTGGCCGGACAGTTGTGTCTCTCTGCGAGCCTTTTCAAGATGTCCGCATATAATCTGAAAATCTGACGTTTTAGCTCAGTTTGTGTGCTTCTTGTTCCCGGCTGAACTTTGGGGGGAAAATGGATGCCGGGGAATGCAAACATGGTGAGAGATGGTTTTCTTTGCTTCTCTTTGCCTATTGGGCTATTGTGGGGCCTTTTGTTTGAACAAAGATACAGTAAAAAGCAGTGTGATCTGAGTATTATTGTTCCTCTTGATGATAAGTCCAACGTGGTGATCGCTCTGTCTCCATGTTTCTCAGTCGAGCGTGCACTGGCCAAAGGTCTTTAAAAGTTGAAATTATCTCCAGTATATTGCCGTTACAGAATGTAATTCTGAGACTGCTGGACGGCCAGCACCCCCCAAGTGTAGATCCATGTTATTCTTGCATGGTGTACTGTAAATAGGCTTGGCAGGGGTGATAGTCTCTGCGAGGTCACAGCCAGCTGCCTTGTTGCTAGAAGAAAGTGTGAAAGGCTGTGGCAGTCGCTCCTATCAGCCTTCAACAGGCAAAAAACTTTCTCTATGACATAGATTACCACATAGCGTGTAGAAGGCAGCAGAACAGCATTTTCTGGACGTTTCGAGTGGAATAATGTGTGGAGACACTCTGCTCTTCAACATTGTCTTACTTGTCCTCGTGCTCATTTTTTCCCTCCAGGCTCTCTGTTTTAGCGTTGCATTGGTAGTTATTCCTAGTGGGTAGTTTGTTTTTAGCAGCAGTTAGCCTTATTTACATGTGACTCCTCTGGTGGGATGTGGTGGGTATGTCCCTTTTAATTGCAACCATGTTGTTTGTGGACCTTGGTATGGCTTTTATGTCTTTCTGTGAATGTGCATTTGCGTGTGTACTGGAAGGCTGACGCTGCAACTCGTTTCTGTGTTTAAACTTGAGTAACCTCTCTTTAGTGACCACAAAGTGAGAAGGCAGCAAACACGCATTATGGACAAGCTGTCTGTATTAAAAGGCCACAATACAGCCTACATTTACATTTGATCAAGTTCTAATCGACTGAAAATGAAACACCAAAAACATAGAAACAAATAAACCAGAACGGGTGGTTGGATATTTGTTTGCCATGTTAGCTCTGGGTGTTATCCTAAACGGGAAATCTATCATAAAAAGCAAGAACTTGCTGAACGTATATTGGGATCTAGCAGCTGTGCAGTTACATTTGTTTCCTAATAATTGAAAAAGAAAAACGTTACATATTGTCTTCTTCTTTTATGATCGGTGTGCTCACCTGTCCTAATGATCCCCTCATGTTCAAGATGGTGTGTGTGACCTCTCACCTCCACCCACCAGATGACTCGGGGGACGAGGAGCCCACGTCCCAGTCGGGCCGCAGCGAGCTTCAGGGCACTTTGAAGATACTCGTCAGCAAGCTCGATGACCTCAGCACATGTAACGACCTCATCGCGAAGCACGGGGCGGCCTTGCAGCGTTCGCTGAGCGAACTCGAGGGTCTGAAAGTGCCCGTGGAGGGCGGGGAGAAGATCAAGGCGGTCAACGAGCGAGCCACCCTCTTCCGCATCACTTCCAATGCTATGATCAATGTAAGTAGATGCAGAAGACCACAGCTGAGTGCATGATCAATGTGACAGGACGTCCATGGGTAGTGCGTAGAACGATGACATCAATTTACGATGTGGCCTTTTAAGCAGGAGTCTGTGTTGCGGATTCACAGCCTGCCAAATCCGGTTAAACCTACTCAAACTATTTCCAACTTAGTGTTTAAATGATGATAAGAAACTATGAGTTGATGGTGGGACATTTTGCTTTACAATATATACAAACTACATATAACTATATTTATATAGAGACAATAACAATCATTATCAAATTCTCATTTTGTGTGTGATCAGCTGTTTCTGCCCCGGTCCTCTCCTCTCAATTGGCTTTACAGTGTCTTATTAGTGGATGAGTTCAGAGAGTGTTGAGGTGCAGATACTAGATATGACGGTGGGGGGGGGAGGACAGGAATAACCTCTTCTCCCCCCGTCCGGTGAGGAATGTCAGATCCTTCTGGACCACAGTTATACGGACAGACCTGCTCTGGCAAAACCATCCAATCACACAAGGTTTGTCTCTTCCTCCTGCTCCTCTCAATGGCTTTGTTGACTACATCTATTTACTCGTTGTTTACTCTTTTTTAGTCTTTCTCTGTGAATTGTCTGGCTGTGTAAAAAAAAAAAGAGTTGTGTATAAACTGAACGTATTTTTACTTCAAAATTAGGTTTAAAGTCAGGCAGTATACCGCTTCTGGTTTGCTTAAGCGTGTTCTAATACAGCTTATTGAGCTACTTGAGGCATAATGTTACGGCAAGAACAATTTCACCTAAACTACGTGAAAGCCATCGCTCAAAACGACAAACCCTTGTTTCTCATCCGTTTTACTTATTAATTGATTTGGTAAATTGAAAGTTACTGCACAAGCAATAAAAATAGATCCTCATGGAGTGCCTAACTCATTAAAATGTCCTTAGGTCAGCCAAGAATGTGCTTCTAATGAGGAGGAAATGCTTCCACAAAGTCCCTGTAGTGATTTTGTGCCTGTAAATGTCTCTCTTCAAACAAGAGGCAGTGAAGGATATTGGTATTTGGATTCCTGCAGCCACGTTTTCTGCCATTGTCGAGGCAATTATGTCACTGTGGTTTTCCAGGAAAACAGGCTTCATGTGTAAACAGGGAGTAAATGAGGAAGGGTTAAGGGAAGGAGGAGGCCATAACGGCAAGACATAACTGCATGTACACTCATCTGACACCGGCCCTGGTATGGGGTTGCATTAGTGCATTGAGGGCATTGCTGAATCCAGGCACGCCCATTTGTGTGTGCATGCTTCTACACACCTTACGCTTCATGCCGGTGGGATTTAATCATAGAAAACTTTACTCAAGTTCAATGACCGTACAGAGTCTTTACATCTTCCGCCGCAAACTAAAGATGCACCTCTTCAGACACTATCTTAACTAAAAAACACTTAACACTTAATTGTACTTATAATGGCTCTTATCTATAGCAAGTTGTTGAAAATCGGCTTTTTTGATGAAACTGCACTTTCTTGTTTCTTGTTCTTCTGGGTTTGTATCCTTACGGTTCAAAGGCACGTATTGTAAGTTGCTTTGGATGAAAGAGTCAGCCAAATGACATGTAATGTAATAATGACGTCTTTGGTACCTCAGTCCTTTCTTTTAGCCTTTATTAACCCTGACGGAAGTCACATGCAGTCTGCGTGTGGATTTGAGACTCAGCATAAAAAAGTGGAACTGTGATACGTGTTTAGTGGGCGCTGAGTTTCATACTAATGTGTGAGGAAGTGAGCCTCAATGTCACATGCACTTCTAACATTTAAACGGAGTCCCGACATTGATGTGTAGACACTTCACGCATGGCTGCTGGAGGTGAGTTAACTGGATGTTTTTACCTGTGCATTGTCCATGCCTTGTTTTGAGCAAACAAGATTGTACTTTAGAACATCTAAAGTCACTGAAATCTAAACTTTGCAAGGGTTGGACAATTCTAGTACTTTAACTAGCCTGGTTTAAACATGTCAACAATGGTATTGTTTTTGTACTTTTGGAGTAATATAATTTATTTGGCACAAATGTCTTTACAACAATCTCTCTTATTGCTGTCAGCAATTTTGCCTGTTTTTTTCTCAGTTTATTATTACTCGTTTACACAAATAAAGATGAACCCGTTGAAATAGGTTTTTCATTTTCCCACGGTTTCATGAATGTGTGAACTAGATCTTTCACGCTCTCCATTTAATGCAAAAGATCAGAGCTGCACCTCCAATAAAACACAATTCCCTGTTTGTTCTCCGCATGTGCTCCGCCAGGCGTGTCGAGACTTCTTGGAACTAGCAGAGACTCACAGCAGGAGATGGCAGCGGGCTCTGCAGTATGAGCGAGAGCAGCGTACCCACTTAGAGGAGACCATTGAGCAGCTGGCCAAGCAGCACAACAGCCTGGAGCGAGCGTGGAGAGAAGCACCAGCGCTCGCTTCCACCACACCCAGCGCCCCTGCCGCCAGCAAGGGTGAGTCTGCGTTGTACTCCTCAGTCCCCTGGGCCTCGGCGTGCTCCTCACTATACTGAGAGAGTCCTAAACACATTCCTCATGCTGCTTCATCTCTTTCTAGTTGTGTCAGAAGCTTTTGTATTATTGCCAATGAAGAGATGGTTATTACCTTGATCAAGGACTTTAGGTCTGTGAATCCATTCTCTCGTGTTTATTTTGCTTTGTCTACCTGCAAGCAGCTTCTTAAAAATATTCGCTGGCATGACACTCGTTGTTCAGATCAAATCTTACCTGGGAAAAAAACCCATTGATTTATTTTCATCATCTTGTGTGAGGCCGCCTCCTCCAGAGAAATGATCGTATAGTATGTTGTTAAGTCACAGGAAGAATAACATGATTGATGGAAGTAAACAAATGTTAGTTTTTAAACCATGTCGAAGGGCTTCGGATGCTGCTCATAAATCTTAACGTCAAACTGTCTCTGCTCTGCAGAAAATAAATAAAACCACCACTGATTGGGAAAGTAGTTTGAGTTCTTACACTTACCAACAGTCCACTTTGGTTTTCTTTAACCATGAACACAATCTTTTCATAAAGGTTAACAAGTTGTTTAAGTTGCCTTAACTTCATTATACATAAACCATGTAGGCAGAACTGAAACTGAAATGGCTCATGTTGGTCATTTGGAAAGCATTGAAAAACTACCTTTGTTGTTTGTTTAAGTGGCTCGACTGTTCAGGTTAAACCATTGATAGTTAAGTATTTTAAAGTATTTGGCCACGTAGACAATAGACTGCTGGCTGGAGTAATAGACATGAATCATCTCTCCTGAGTGGTGAGACAATATCTCAAACTGTTTTCGAACAAAGATTGAGTTCAGTCTTTGTTAAATATTTAAAGTATTTTATTAAGCAGAAGCTGATCTTGAAAGATGATAAAAACAACTATGGTCTTGTAATGCAGTACATTCTGTTATATTGGTTGTTGTTCAATGACTAAAGGTCATAGTTTACTCTCTTTCTTTTAGAAAGTTCTGAATTGAATGCAGGATACTGAATATTAGAAGCAAACACTAAGTAGCCTGCATTTCAGGCCAGTTAACCAGCAGGAACATTGCCAATTTAGCTAAGCTAATTTCTCCTTGACTAATCACCACGGGTGTGTGATTACACGCCGCTGAACTCTGCAGCACACAAACCCTCCACCCTGTGATGCCGCTGCTCCGGTCATATGCTGTTGCCATTTACTCACAAACGTGCATTTCCTGACAGGGAGGAGTGAGAGGCTGCACAAAGAAGAGGCGAGTGATGAAGATGAGGATACGGAGTACTTTGATGCAATGGAGGATTCCCCTGCATTTATCACAGTGACTGCCACCGACAACACAGAGCACAGGTCGGTCACTCGGTATTTGGCAAAACGGCAGATAAGACAGGGACGCAGGTGCAGTTGAGTTTTAATGTTTTGTGTGTCTGTTAGATGTGTTAATTTGCAGTTAAATAGAGGAAAGACTACCAGTGTGTCTGAAGAGGTTTATGGCCTATTTATTTGCTGCATTAGAAGCTCCACTTGTCTTTGAAGAGGTTGTGCTTTCTGTTACTGTTCTTTTACAGTTTTAAGTGTTCTTCCCCTCATTATTGTCACCGCTCATCAATATGCAACATATTCCAAACTCCATTAGCGCCATCTTTGCTTCCTGTGTGCGTGAGTGTGCGTGTGTTGTGGGGGACATTGAAGCAGTTTATTTGTCAAATACTCATTGTAGAAAATATTTTCATTCTCTTGCAGGCGTTCTCAAAGTAATTTGAGTGGAGCAAGCGGAGGTCAGCCCACTGACTGGAACCAGGACGACCATGTAAGTTTCTGTCTTCCTGGAGGATGGGACGGACATTTGTGGACACTGCTGACTGACGTGTGTTCTTAATATAGATTAATGTATGCTATTTGAAAGCAATCATTGATTTAATTATATAACTGTCTTCACTTGTGGTTCTCACACACATACACGCACAGCCTTTTTTGAGTCCCCCACGGTGTCATCACCCCCTTGTGGTCCAAATATGCACAGCTGCTTCCTTCCACAAAATGTTAATTACCCGTCAAACATCTGCACTTCTTTCCCCTAAACTCTCCATCGCTCTAACACACATCTGCGTCCTCTGTTCCATCTCCTGCTGCCTCTGACTCGCTCTGTCATTCTGACTCCTCCGTTTGGTGATGTGCTGCCAACTTCAGGATGAAGCTGAAAGTGTTCGTCAAACTTGTACACAGCAAATATGCTTTGAGCACACAAAGTTTAAAGACCACCATTTCACCCTGCGACTCTTTTCTTCCACCCAACAACAGATGTCGCCAAGCTGTAATGACGTGTCAGGGAAGAAGCTGCAGCCGCGCAGACAGAGGCGCACGCAGGTCCCAGACAAGCCCAACTACTCCCTCAATTTGTGGAGCATCATGAAGAACTGTATCGGCAAGGAGCTCTCCAAAATCCCCATGCCTGTAAGTGTGTTACGCACGCTCCTTCTTGCTTTCTCGTTAACACAAATGTGCGTGTCTCACGTCCTCTTGATCCGCCCGTTCAGGTGAACTTCAACGAGCCTCTGTCCATGCTGCAGCGCCTCACCGAGGACCTGGAGTACCACGAGCTCCTGGACAAGGCGGCGCGCTGCGACTCCTCCCTGGAGCAGATGTGCCTAGTCGCCGCCTTCTCCATCTCGTCCTACTCCACCACGGTCCACCGGACAGCCAAGCCCTTCAACCCCCTCCTGGGTGAGACCTACGAGCTGGATCGAAGGGAGGAGTTCGGCTACCGCTCGCTGTGTGAGCAGGTAACGGCGTGGCCCCGGCGTGTTTAGACACAAGCTGGTGTGCATGCACGCAGTGCGAGTAAGCAGGACCAGCCTGTGCTCTACAAACAGTTGTTGTTTTCCTTGATACCTTTTATGTGTATATTTCTTCTAAGGTGAGCCATCACCCTCCTGCAGCTGCACATCATGTGATTTCCCAACGAGGCTGGACCCTCTGGCAGGAAATCACCATCGCCAGCAAGTTCCGGGGCAAATACCTCTCCATAATGCCTCTGGGTAAGACGTTTCATCTTCAGTGGGGAATTGTTTTATTTAAAAGTTCTGTCACGCAAATGGGACAGCCCCAACAGGTGGAGTTTAGTTAAGACGGACTAACGCTGGAGAGTAGTACGTGACTGTGCCGCCTCCCACACAATTTAGAGGAAAACCGGGTGTGAATGAATCACGTGGGTTTTACGACCGGTTTGACACACACATAAAGTATGGATATAAAGGTGCTCTCTGTTACACTGGGATGGCAGACAGCAGGCTTCTGCTGGCTCAGATAAATAGGGGGTTTGATGGATGTAAGTTAAGCCGAGGGATGCACTGGGATTTGTTTGACTTCTCTCCTTTCCTATTAAATGCCTGCTGGGAGGTTCCATGGATCAGAAACAGTGGAAGTGCTGTTCTTCATCTTTCATCGTCAGGTCACAATGGACGCTGGTTTCTTTCCTTCCCTTTCATCAGTTATAGGGTTAACAGGCTCAAAATGTACGCAAACCTTTCACGTTTCACAATCACTGGTGTCGCTCAGAGGTCAATTGCAGACCTTTTCCACCCGAGCATCACCAAATTTGATCGAATAGGATCAGACGATCAAGAACCAGGCAATTTGTCCAACTAGAGCGGAATTTAGATCCCGTCGTTTCTCTGCCGTGAGACCTCCACAAACGGGTAGTTTTCAGAAGTCTATCAACATGAAACATTTCCAATATTACTGTCCACACACTGGGCGATCTTATAGAAAAGTCATGGTGTCTCCATGACTTTTAGGACATCGGGCTGTATGTAATTTCTTTTCAGGTGATTCTCAAAATGTGAAGGTTTTTTTAGTGTGTTATATTGATTTATTTCTTCACCAGTAACATATAAACAGATGTTTACAATTACAGGGATTCCCCTTTATCCCGACAGAAAATAAATTATCCAGATAGAGAAAGTAGTAATTACACTTTTTAAGATCGATATGCAATTTTTGGAGCACAGGAAAAAAATAGGCTAGGGGCGCTGAGTGTAAATGTTTATTAAAAGACTCTGGAATAATTTGTGGAAATTAATTTGGGGACCCAAATTAAATCTCCTGCGGGTCCAGACCAAGTAACAAATCAACTGTGGTAATTATTTTGTCTTAATGCATTTTGTCCCTGTCTCTCCCCAGGTGCCATTCACCTGCAGTTCCATTCTAGTGGGAACCAATACGTGTGGCGAAAGGTCACCTCCACTGTGCACAACATCATAGTGGGAAAGCTGTGGATTGACCAGGTGTGTTTGTCTGTTTGGACCATTCATCCACAGCTGCAGACCTACAACCCTGTTTAATGCCCCTGGCAGCGCAGAGCAGCCTTTAGGTGTTAATCAACCTGTGCAATGTGATATAAACCAGCAGAGCAGAGTGCTGTGAAGAAGCACAAAAATAAGAAGCCACACAATCTCCAGGGATGCATCTTCCGTGTCTTCTGTTATGAGGGCTTTGATCTCTAATAACACTAAAACAACAGCCTTTCCTTTCTCGGAGATGGCCCAGTTATGAACGGGGAGGGGCAGTCTTCTCAGTCAGTTAGAATATGTTGTCCTGCCATCTTTTCTTCTTCCTTTTTCCAATCTCTTTTGTGTGTGTGTGTGTGTGCATGAGCGTGCAGCCCTGGAAGAAGAGCTAGATGGCAACTAGAACAATATGGCAGTTCATCATCTCTGATTTATTGCATTGGAGTGTGCTACTAGGAAATATTTTGATTGCAGACAATGAGAATCAGCAGCATCGTTCGTGTTGATGTACGTTAATAAAGATACACTGTGTGTATCAGCAGGTGGTACGTCAACACCTACAATTTACACTGAACGTTCCTCAGTGGAGAGCAGGGTTGTCTGTGCATGTGGCTCTGTGTATGGTAGCTCCTGTCATCAGTGCATGAATGGGTGAATGATAACATGCACTGTTGAAGCCTAGAGACTAGAAAAGTACAGCCTTCATTAGTTGTCAAAAACTCCACATGGTACCTTTTGAGGAAGCTAAATACCTGGTTTTAAACTAATAATAATTAGGGTTAGAATCAGTCAGGAAGCGCTCATCTCTCTGCTGTAAACACCGTTAATCGTGTTCTCTGTGCATCTTCCTCCCTCGCTCTGTGTCTGTTTGTGTCCGTACTTGTGCAGTCGGGGGACATTGAGATCGTGAACCACAGGACCAAGGAGACCTGTCAACTCAAGTTTTCTCCCTACAGTTATTTTTCTAGGGACGTTCCACGGAAGGTAAATGCCATGTCCCCGACCCATTGCATGCATTTATTTGTCCGATGCTGCCTCCTGCTGGACACTACCAACAAATATATTATGTAATGGAGAAAAAAAAGCTCATTGTATGAGGTTTCATTGCAGTGAGGAAACAGGCAGTGCACCAATTATCTAAAAATGGGGCACCATGCTGGCCTCCTTGGTACCTACTGATCTGTGATGAGCTAATGGAGATTTACTGGTGTCCTACCTACGCGAATGTGTACTTAAGTGTTTAAAAGAAAGGACATGGTGATACATACAGACTTGCGGAGCAATGTATTGCTTTAGTATAGTCAGTTTTCTCACTTCCTTTTGCTTATTCCAGGTGACAGGTGTGGTGGCAGACAGTGGAGGGCAGGCTCACTACGTCCTCTCTGGTACCTGGGATGATAAAATCGAGAGTGCCAAGGTTGTTCACAGCAGCCGAGGGGGCAGCGGATCAGAGGGCAAGCAGAAGACGGTTTATCAGACTTTACCTCCCAAGCTGCTGTGGAAGAAATACCCTCTCCCGTGAGTTTCATCTGCCGCATAAGGCAACGTATGAGTAGTCGCACAACAGCTGCCATGTTCAGCGTAACTCCGGTCCACTTCTTCTTGATCTCTCAGGGAGAACGCAGAGAACATGTACTACTTTTCAGCACTGGCACTGACCCTAAACGAGCAGGAGGACGGAGTGGGACTGACCGACAGCCGCCTGAGACCAGACCAGAAGCTGATGGAGGAAGGGAGATGGGACGAGGCAAACTCCGAAAAACAGAGGCTGGAGGAGAAACAACGAGCCGTGAGAAGGAGGAGGGAGGCAGAGGCCTCAGACGCTGTAGATGAAGGTACGCAAAGGAGAACAGGAAGTGCAGCATGTGTGAGTGAATGGCAGACAGGGAGTGATGGTAAAGGAAGGGTGAAAGATAAGCATTGTGCTCTGCAGTGATTTTCAAATACATGCATGCAGTTAAGATTGGATAAAGTCTGCAACTACTTTTTTTCCCTCAATGCAATAACGAAATGTTTTTGAAATGCTACAACTTTGAATCACATCTCTGGCTTGCTTCTTCTTCGTAGAAAAGGTAAACGTTATCGTAGTATCAAGAGCTATGCGGCAACTTAGATAATTATTATTTGTGTACTGTCTTACTTTATATGAATAGTGCTTCATAGTGGGGAAAATCCGTCACCCGAGCTTAATGGTTTGGATTTAGGAAGTCATACTTATCCCAGTAAGAACAACGCTCAGTCATTCCTGTCATTCTAAACGTTTCATCCTGTGGCATTCGTGCATGTGCGTTTGTGTGCGTGTTGTGTGTGTGTGTGTGTGTGTGTGTGTGTGTGTGTGTGTGTGTGTGTGTGCGCGTGGTGCCAAGGCTATATTGTATCTGATGTACCCATGACTTGTCTTTCTTTTCCTCCCTCTATTGGTGGTCAGAGTGTGATTATGACTCTGGTGAGTGGGGGCTGCCCTGTGCCCCTCTGCTGTGTATCACTCACACACAAATACACACACACACACACACACGCACACACATGCAGACACACATACTTGTGAACCTACATGCACGCACACACATACACACCCTCCTCTGTGTCCTGTGTATGGTCTGACTGTGTGGAACTGCATGATACCCCTCTCATGGCAGCTTGACATAATTACTCAGGAAAATGGCTTTTCCTGCATACATGTTACATGGAATAACAGATACAAGTATTCTTAAGGTGGCGGAGCCACGTCAGCAAGTGATTTATTTACACTGCATCGGGCAGAGCACTGCGATGGATTGCTCCACCTACATTATGCATATGTGTGAAGCCAAATTGATCGCAAAGCAAATTGCCTGCAAGTGTGGCTTCTCCACTAGAGCGCAATTTCAATGAGAGGAATTGAGTAACGCTTGTGTCTCTTCCCGCAGGCAAGGAATACGAAGGCTACCAGCCATTGTGGTTCCACCAGCGGAGGGACTCAGTCACTGGAGACACAAACTTTGTGTACAAGGGAGGTTACTGGGAGGCAAAAGAGAGACAGGACTGGAGCATGTGTCCCAACATCTTCTAACCCAAGAACTCCCCCCCAAATCACACCTAACCTCATCGGACTGGGAACCGCTTTGCCTCTGGTCCTTCAGTAATGGTGCGTAGCACCACGTGGACCTGTGGTGAGCATGAGAATGTGTTTGTTTTCGCACACTCTCAGATTACCTCCAAATGTACACTCTGTTTTTACTATGAGGAAAAAGAAACAGCAGTGCAATAATTGTGTAGATGTGACATGTTGTTGGAGTTGTGGTACTACACAACAAAAGGCACCTGCACATTCCTTCATAAATCTTACTCACTTTTCTGTGTTCACCCGGTTTTAGAGTTTTTACGGATTGGACAGAAACCCGGGTCAAAAGCATTAACACACACATATACAGAATACTGTTGAATACACAGCATTTCAGGGGTTTACTTTGAAAAGGGTCCTCATACTTTGTTTAATTCAGTACAGTTGAGTTCATGCCAGACTTAATAAATCTTACATTTTCTCCCCTCATTTTCTTTACGCGAATAATTTCATGCTCTGTATTTTCCAACTAAAGCCCAAAAAAGTCATCGTAGAAATATATGCCTTTCAGATTTTCTTATCAGTACGGCAGATAAAATGTGTTAAAAATATTGATTAGAAGGATATTCTCAAAAAAAGTAAGTAAAAATAAGTACAGACAAAAAATAGGTAACATAAGTATGATTTTTTTATCTTTAAACCGTACTACATGTTATTTTGTGCTGCTTATTTTTGTGGAATGTCAGTTTTATTACTTTGAAATTGACTGTGATCCTATTTCATAATTCTTTGTCACAGATGAAAATGTCAGGGCCAGATTTCATTGGCTTTGATCTGATTGAGCTGAAAACTGGTGGTAAAACTGTCAGAGAAAAAATATATACACATAAAATTTAACATAAATACAATCAATACACATTGTGGAAAAGAGGACACAATGCTGGAAAGAAACCAATAAAACTGTCCAGCTTATAAAATCTATCCTGAAAATAAGCATGACAAAAAAACATTTCATATAACGAGCTGTGTTTTAGAAATGTATTGAATTACTTCACAGTTCTTATTTATATTATTTGTAACATTTTGGGGCAAACTGTCTCTTATACTGCTGAACTTGTTCTATTCAGTGTGAATGTTGGAGTTTCCCTCCAGAAATGACAGTCGTAGTGTGAAGTAGTCAATTAAGACTAGAGTGCATATAGAGATAATATGGCTGATTCTTCATTTAATATGTTGGATACAAAGTGCATCTCAGTCATCTGAATATGCTTCAGACATCTTCCATTTGTGATTCTGATTATTGATATTCTGTAATAGGCCTAGTTGGTCCATTTGTTTAAACACATTAGCGCTTCTACAGTAACACATAGAATATCCACATCACTCCATCAAATAACTCAAATAGCACTTTTCACTGTGGTAGATCCTACATGAAGTACATATCTGTGTTGGTGTTGAGAACATGTCACTCTGTACATGTACTTTACCTTGTCCTCTGGTGCTCTCCAATCACAACACACCGTAACCGTGACGACCGTTCATAGACACGTCTTTCTCAGTGATCATTCTCCGTCTGCACCAAAGACATTCAGTGATTGGTTTCCATGGCGTGCTCCACAAAATCCATCCCTCACTAGTCTGAAGCTCAGAAGTTTCCAGGAGGACTGCTGTACGTGGGGTTGGAGCGGCATCTCCGAGGGGGCCGGAGGTCCGGACACGAGGTCAGAGGTTGTAGAAGCACACAGGGCTGGTTCCTGTAGCACACTTCTGACACTTGCTCCTACCGCCGTTGACCTCCTCCCCAGCTGGCGCTCCAGCTTCAGCGCAGCTCACGCATGGTCCTTTCCTTCAGAGTTTGTGCACATATCTGATCTGGGATCAGCTCACAGAGGCCCCCCCTCAGTCTTTTGCCTTCAATCGACTGAACCTGTGCACTACATGTCTACGGAGACAAGAGTTTTAAAAAACAGTTAGTATTTTTTTGTAATTATTATTAGGAATGTAGAATTTAAGGCTGGATGTATTGTATCTTCCATCTAGTCTATTTGTGTGGATATTTTGTCATAAAAGAGAGATTGTGAGATGAAGAATAATTATACTGATCTGAGTCTTAAGTTATGCAGACAGTGCGTCCAAATATGAAAACAAATGACTGAGTGAGCCGGGAGGATTTCCAGTAATTTCATTTTTTAATCCAGATTGATTCTGAGAGGATGGATGTTAACTCGTGTGCAACCTCAATTTAGCTGCATTTTTTCTTTTTTATATTTCCAAAAACTGTTAAAACAATTAAAATATTTTTTATAGAGTCGTTGATATGAGTACATTGGTAACCATGTAATGCTTTCAGAGATCAACACATCTGGCAGTTCACATTTTAGCACAGTTTACTCACTAAATCTACCTAAAAAAAACTAAATTTACTTTAAAAAACTAAAGGTTACCTGATACTATTCTTTTCAGAGTCAAAGGTGGTACATTTTGACAGGGATAAATCCAAAATATGTAACTGTTATTGTTATGTAATCTGTGTCATCATCATTCAGTACCGGACGGTGACTCTACTCCACATGTGGAGGTTTTGGCTCACAGCTGTTGCTGCTTAAACAAAACAGTTGAAAGCTTAAAGAAACAACACAACAACCAAAGTGTATGTGGAGAGTGTGTGTTGTGTACTGTAGACTAGAAATAACCTCTAATCTGCCATTTCTGGGGGAGTTCTAATGTAAACCCCCCCTCTCATTGTTTCTCTCATTTCATCTCACTGAATTCACTCTAGTATGATTTTCTTATTTGCTGATTTCTACCTTCTCATGGGTGCCATTATTCTTATGTTGGTGTTTGTATGCGTAGTGAGTTTGCGTTGTGTGCGTGCAAGGCAAACATTTCCTTCTCAGTCGATGCTGCTCAGTTATGAAGCAGAAGCAATCTAATAAAAATGGGGAGAATTTCTTGCCTTGTCCAAACCCGGTTGCCCCTCGGACTGTGATTTGTGTGAGATAATGTCATTGATCTGTATGATGATGACGACAGCTACATCACAACCGTGGCCTGGTACTAGAGGTCAAAGGAGATTGACCTGCCTTGACTGCTACTCTTAATCCCCAAATACATGTCGGTGTTTTCAGGTGAAACTGCGGATTCAAGATTTCTTTTTTTTTTTTTAATTGTGTATCTTCTCCCTTAATTTCTACTCGTATAACATTGTCTGTTAATGACAAAGATACAATAATAATTAAAAAAAGAAGATAATAAAGTTGCGATTGTTCAAGCTGGATATCCGTCTGCTTTATTTTTTAACGGCTGAAAGATGAGATAAAAAATGAGATCATTTCGATTTTTTGAGTTTCAGCACAAAAAAGTGTTAATACGTGAATAAACTCACCAAAGCTGCAGCAGTAACCACACAACTTATTAGCATGAAAACAATATAGCAAGCTTTGACTTAGGAAGGTTTTATTTTACAAAGAAATCTAAATACAGAAAATTAAGAAAAGCCCTTCACAGCTTACAAGAGTTAAATCAACATACCAACCCAGATGGGGTTGAACGTCAAAGGCACAATTTTAAGGCATGTAAATATATACAACTAATTCAAATATTTAGAGAATTTTACATAATTTTACAGTGTTATTTAAATCTCTACAACCCGGCACACACTTCTAGGCAAAGTATGGTGCAAATGTTGCCGCTGCATGCGCTCTGTGATTTACCGCGCTGTGCCGACAGCGAGCTGTTTGGCCGTTTCCATGGCAACCCATTCGAGCTCCCGTCAATCAAGTCTCAGTGCGCCAGCTGTGAGCTTCACTTGTACTTCAGAAGACTGGAAGTCAGCGCCTCCTCGTTTGTCCCCTGATAGTAAGTAAGTAATATGCATTTTCCTTCAGGCGGCACAATGACGGTGAGACTATTTTACTTTCAGACAGAGCGTCTCAGATTAGCTGTGACTGCATGTTAGAGATGTTTGTCATTTGGCAATCAACTTAATGAATTAATCGGAAAGGCTCAACAAAGTGATTATTCGGTGTAGCTGGCGTTGAGAACATAGTTATTGTGACAATAGTATTAACTTTTAGGTATTTCAGTCAGCTCAATACTTAAATTCCTTAATTGCCACTATTAAGTTCAGGGGCTTTTATAGCTCCTGCACTGTTTATTGTGGGGAGTGGACGAGATCAGGAGGCCGTCTTTGTGAAGAGAAGTCAGTTTGGCCAACAAGCTAAATTGTCTTGGTTTCCTGGACAACAGGGCAACAAAGCCCCCCACTCATTACGACGGCCCAGTGGGCCTCTACCAATAGTAGATGGAAGTGGGGATGTTTTGTCCGCTGAGTGTCTGAACATTTGTCTTCAGCTGCAGGACATGGCTGACCGAGGCCACGCCGGAGGTGCAGACGTCATAGATGAGCTTTTCTACGCAGGTTTTATTAGTAGTGCGTCTTTGTTATGTACATCTCACCCTTTTAGGGAATAACATCGTCTCATGTTTACCTTTTTGTCTGCTCTGATAGAAATCAACAATAGCAGAAAAGACCCGTGTGACCTTCTCCTAGATGCTATTGATGCTCAGCTTGGTCAGCTGCAGGTCTGTGATCTCATTTCTGTCTGTATGTGTAATCTGGAATAAATGTTTTAAGTGATTAATCTATGTAGGTCCAGCCCAGGAAATGTCAGACAATTTCCAGAGAGATCGGTGGCAAAGATGCAGGTAATTTATGTCACAACTCAGAATTTAAGGTATTGTTCCTCTTTTTTTACGTGTGTACATGTTTTTTTCCCCTAGATCCTCTCATTTGGAGTCAATCCTTGAGCAAAGACACCGGCTTTGGGAGTACAACTCAAACAAATGACACTCCCTTGTCTTGTCTTGATTTGATACACACTCCAAAGATGGACCACACATCAGGTATTATTTTGGTGTATGTATTATTACAGTAATCTCAATCTCTATCTTAACAATTGAAATGCTTTAAAACCTGCAACTCTGGTAGGAGACTTTTTATGACTTTTTCAAGTGATTAATTATGATATTTGTATGGCCACAACCATGACACCTTCTCCATAAAATCATAAAAAAGGAAAAATGGAATGTGTTACTTTTCATTTACTTTCATCATGGCATTTTAAGACGGAACACTTTTTAATGACATTTTTAATCACTTTGTTCTTTTTTGGTGACTCTTTTTCGGCATAATTTTTAAAAAATTGTTTTACTTGTTAATTGCAATACCATTACAGTGTGTGCCAGGTACTATACCATGACCGGTTTTATGAAATATTGTAGTATCACACTTTTTAGTGATATTTCATATGACACACTGTACCCATTTTTTATGACGTTGTAATATAAAATATTACTGCACTCTGACATTTACCTGATTCTATAATATCGCAATTTTTCCTTTCATACTATAAACTTTTTGAATTTAATTTTTCTTAAGCCCCCCCCATCTCTCTCTCCATCTCTCCATCTCTCCATCTCTCCTCAATTTCTCCCCCAGAAAGCAGCACACGTTTGCTGGAAAGAGACATGGGGGAGAACGTGAGTCAGAGGGAACAGGTCATCTGGAGACTCAGGAGGCTGCTGGGAGACGCTTGTAATGAGGGAGGTTTGGCCGGAGACTCCCTCCCTCCTGCAGACAGCATCTGCACCGAGGACTTTGGACGGCGCTTCAGAGACGAAATGGTCGAATCTGAATTCGACCATTTCGCGAGCAATATGCAGCGACTCGACAAGAAGGAAGTGACGGAGAGGCAGGTGACACCTGGCTTTGACGATTGCCTCAGTGAACAAAAAGGACAAAGTATTCTTAATGTCAGAACATTGTCCAGCTGTGGAGTAAATACATCATGGAGTGAGACAACCGCAGCTGAAAAGAGAAACAAACCCCAGAGGCCTGGTTGTGATGGCAGCAGTGAGTATTAATGACTATTAATAAGTGTGTGCCAATTGTCCAATTTTACAAAGAATTGCTTTGTTTTTCCCAAAGATAAAATAATGCAATTTTCTATTCCTAAAAGATGAAATGTGTGTTTTCATTGCATTGGACAAAAATTTGTAGATTGTGAAAAAAGACGAAAGAGAAAGTAAAATAAACAATTAAGAAAAAATGGTGAATCCCAGAAATCAATGGGTACTAACAAAATAAGAACCAATCATGGTTTGTAGGGATAAATAAGGATTTTATTTAGCAACTTGCGAGAGGCCCGTTTGTTTGGAGCTTTGATACCACGTCCATGACGAGTGACCTTCAATCAGCACAGAGCAAGTTGAGCAGCCAGCTGAGAGACTTCATTCCAAATATGGAGGAAAGCAAGTAGCATTTTAGACAAACCATTTTATATATAAATTATCACTAAAGAACAGCCAAAAATGAGATTTTTACTGTTTTTACAAACTCTTAAAATGAAGGAAAATATATCAACAAGGTTGGAATAAACACATGTGGAATTACAGCTGAGGTGATTTGAGTGACAGCCTCAGGGCGGCGCTCTCTCATTCAGTCCGTCACCATCAGTGATTGCTGTACGAACAGCGACTGTGACGCACCTTCACATGAAGGAAGGCAACCTGAAGTACAGCCGTGTGATCCTTTATGTGATCAAATTCTAAATGGAATCTCTGAATTTAACAGAATTGACCTTTCTTTGTTTGCAAAGGCCAAAGATTCTCCAATGAAAATGTCCAAAACAGGAGCCCTAAAGCTCAGCTTAAAAGGAGAAAGACTTACAGGTAATTCATGTGGAAGGACTCAAAAAAACATAATTATATTATTATATTTGGGTATTTTTTTGCAAACCTTCTGTACACATTTTAAAATATCCACTATGCATGTTTTTGTATCCCAGACTTGTGTGTTCTTCTGGTGATGGTGATCAGGACACGGATGAAGAAGTAAATCCCTGGAGGAGGCAAAGCAGGACAGAAAGAACACCAGAGAAGACGCAGTCCGACTGGGCCAGGATGAAAGAGCGGCTCTCTACAATCAGACAAGTGGGAATTAAACTGCCAGTCATATTCAGTATAATCTGAGAAATGTTTTTCGTCAATTGTGTAAATGATGTATGTGACATCACTGGAATTGTGTGTCTGGTTAAGAAGTGTGAAGAGGAGGAGATGATGCTACAGAAGAAGAAGGCTCAGATAAAAGATGTCAATCTCTTCCTCTCTGAACTTCAACAAAGAAGAACGGTAATGCGTAGTTCCTCGCGTGCGTATAGAAGTCTCACTAGTACTCACAGTGTTTGGTGCGTGTCCCAGCATGCCTTGCAGGAATTAAAGCGTCTGACTGAAGAGACAGCAAAGATGGAGAAGCAGAAGAGGACTCTGGAGTTTGTTCTAAGAGACAACGGGGCAAGACGGGACTCTATCAGGTATGAAAACTCTAACTATCCGCTTTAAACAAAGCTGTATGCATCAACATGGAAACATCACACTGCAGCCACAGGGTTCTCAAGCAGTAACGAATGTGTTTCAGCTGCCAGCGGAACGAGCAGCGAAGGCAGAGAGAGTCCTGCATTCTCCAGGTAATCGCACGACAATCAAACCAGACTCTGTTTATTACGTCGCGTTTTCTTTCCTCATTACTTCTGTTTTTTGATCCTGCGCTGTTCCACAAACAGCCAAGTGGCGTCACTCCGGCGCTGGAGAGGGAGGAGACGGAGCCGCTTGCTGAACAGCGACGGGCAAGAGAGACACGAGAGTCCAAACGAGTGGTACGGTGTTAAGGCCTTAAGGATGACAATTATAAACCAAGACCAAAATGTGTTTTATGTAATTGTGTTCACACACAAACATACAAAGTTATAACTACACCATCATCTCTGGTCGGATGTCATTTGTTTTTGATTTTGTTTTCTCATGTTACATTTTTTTAATGTTTTGTGTACAAACAGGTTAAGTATTACTAGATTTTCTGTGTCTATTGGTTGGAGGAATTTGCTTTTGGTGTTTGAAAGTGTGTCTGCATGTGTGTTTAGCGTGAACCGGAGGTTCAGACTGGTGAGGAGCTGCAGACGGTCACGGAAGCTGACAGCTCACCGAGGGACACTTGTGCTTCTCTGGAGGAAAAACTCGAGCAGAGAAAGGAAGAGCTCGAGGTGTCACCAAAGCACATCAGATTCTAATTTCTAAAAGTGTAAAATGTAATATTTATCAGTGAAGCTTAATCCTCACCAGTATTTCTGTATCTCTTTCTATCAGGCAGTAGAGCTTCAAGTCGGTAAACTGCAAAGGGAACTGGGAGAATGCAAAGTCAGAGAGGGAACGCAGCAGCAGATGTTGGCCCAAAAGGAGCTACAGATGTTAGATTTGCATGAGGAACTGGGAGCCTCACAAGCAGAGAGAGGTGGCCTGAGGGGGGAGCTACAGCACATGGAAGTCCCGCAGTGCAAAGCGCTGGAAGAGGCTCAGGAGAAAAGCCGTGGAGTGGTGGTACGTGCTGTGGCCTTTACGTTGACACACCATGTTTTCTATAAAGTAAGGTTGGGCTCCTCCTTGGCTCAATGTAAACTGCTTGGTGCTTTCCGGAGTCTCGGTGGCACTGGTGGATATTAAAGTGTTGGTGTTTTCGTGATTGTTGCACTATACAATATACAGTACATAGTAAGTAAGTAAAAGCACTCCAGAGGGTTACTGTTCATGTGATCCTTTCCTATTCTGACAGCTAAAAGAAGAGACAAAGATGCTGAGCGGTTCTCTGGAGCAGCAGCAGAACCGTGACGAGCAGCCAAACGGCCTGCAAAAGGTACTCTGATAATCCTAAAATATACAATATTTTTCAATACGGTTGCAATTTTATACACATTCTAAGCGATAAGAGGAGCAAGCGGGAGGCAGAGAAGGTGGAAGCAGTGCAGGTGCACTGTGGGAAGGAAGGAGCCTGGAAAGCAAGAGGAGTGAGAAGCATTGTGTTAGTAAAGCGCTGGCTATTCAACATAATGGTGCAACTAAAAAGTGTGAGGTGGTTTGCAACCAGGAAATGGACCATTACTGTCTAAAATGATTCAGAAATGAATTCTGATTTCATTCTCTTTCTGCGACTGTATTTCTATCTGGAAGAGAGTGCAACATATGGAGGATTAAAGTCTTTGCTGGCTGGTATTTGCAGAACTTGCAGAGACAGACGGCCGCTTGTAAAAAAAACCTGTAGAAAGCAATTCTCTGCAGGCCAACAAAGAGACGTGGTGCTGCAAAAGCTCTGACGCGCTGTGGTGTGTTTGTCACAGAGTCACAGGGCAGTGCTGAGACCCGAGCAGACCGAGGCCGACGAGCTGAGAAGGATGCGAGAGGACAGCGAGGGAAGCAACAACCAAAGGACAGCTGAGCTGGAACAGCAGCTCAGGCGCTGGGCGCTGGAGCTGGGAGCGGAGTGCCGTCACCTACACCTCTTAGTGGAGCAGAGTGGAGCCCAGCAAAGTGCTCACAGGTACAAGTCCTGCCCTGGTTTATGTGGGGTAAAAAGAGGGCGATATTTTGCAGGCAACAAGACGTGTTTGTTTTTTCTGATGCCTCGAACAGTCCAACAGCCACTGAGGCTCTTACACACCTGAGGACACTAAGAGAGCAGCTGAAGCATTTGATCGACCATCTACAGCTGGAGCTCCATTCACAGAAAGAAACCACCGAGCAGCTGAGGAAGGAAATGGTATAGTTTCTGCAATGCCTGCTGTTTAACAATACAGAATATGACATGTATACAGGACATGAGTAAAAGTCCCCTTTGTCCAGGAGAGACAACTGAGCGTCCAGAGGCAGCAGCTGAGGACGGACAAAGACCGAGCCTTGGATTCTCTAAAGGAGCGTCTCATTCAGGTAACTTGCAGACTTTTTTAGTGCACACGCCGGTCCGCATAGAAACAGAAACCTCATCATGCAACGCCGTCCGCCCTGCAGGAGCACATTGAGGAGTTAAGCAGTCTGAACTGGGCTCGTCCGTGTGAAGGAAGAGCCGAGGTTGGAGGGATGGCAGCGTGTCTCCGCAGGCAGCTGAAGGCGAAAGACCTGGAGCTCAGGCAGGTCCAGAGGAGCATGGCTCAGTGGAAGGAAAGGACGGCCGCTCGTCTGGCATGCAAGTTTGAAGCCGAGTTGACGGCTGAATTGGAGAGGTACCACTCAAACGAACCAAAATCAAGTTAAAGGAAAGGCCCATCCGTTTGTTTGTGGGTTTTAGGCAGTGATTTCCAGAACAATTGGAAATGCGTAACTGGTTTTCCCCACCCCCACAAAAAGCGCATATATATATTTAATAGAATGGAGATATTATACAAAGTAAGAATGAAGATATTCTGTGGTTCTATATTTAGAGTTTGCTCTCATTTTGGTATCCTGCTTTCCCACAGGTACAAGACCAAGTTGTTGAAGGGCAGGTAAGTTCACCTCACTGCAGTCTGAAAGTGGTACCATAGATGCACAACTAACTGTTTCCATGTAAGTGGTCACCTCCTACATGTGTTCATTGTAACAACTATCAAACGCAGCTCTGTTTGTTTTCCAGGAAACCATCAAAGCCCCGAGAGGAGAGCCGGAGAGTTCCCATGAAGGCCGAAGCAGAGATGACACACAGTGCAGATGTAGAACCTTTCCTGTTTCAGTGATTAAAAAAAAACAAAAGCCCCGAGCTCCAACAGATCTGTAGCCTAAAGATAGACAACGTTCACACGTTTATTAAAAAGAAAAACTCTTTTCCCCCTCAGAAAGCTTGGAAATCAGTTTGCTCTCCCTCCCTCCGTGTTGTGGACGGTGCTGCCTCCTCCGACGTGGCTTCATTTAAGCTCCTGCGTCACCTGCAGAGCAGAGTCAAGCAGCTTCGTGTAGAAACACAGGCCTGCAGCTGCAGCCCATCGCCGCCAGAAAGCGTCTCTTTGGATTTGTCAGGATCTTATATTGCAACAGTGAGTGTATTGTTTAGTAACGCACACTGCAATTATACATGCAAACCCAGCTCTGTCCTCAGAGCACCTGCTGCTCCTCTGTAATATTCAGCACAGCGGGACCCGATAGAAAATCCTCAAATCATTACCGTTATGCAAGCACATTGATATTATGATGATATATTATAATACTGGTGTCTCCTTTGTAGATCACTCGAGGGCAAGACGGTGGGATTCAGCGCCACTCATCAACCAGCGCCGTCAGAAGTTGGGAAACCTCCCTGTGTGCATGTCGCACACACCAGTGATTTATTGTAATGCATTTCAAGCTGTAATTTGTTGCCAAATAAAATCAATCATTTACCGTTAAATGTGCTTAAGTTTGCAGATTTAGTCAGAGACAGATGTCGTAACTGAAGATCGGGGCATTTAACTTACATTTTGTGTTGAGAAAAGTCAGGTTTTTATGACTCAAGGTTACAATAAACTGAATGAGTAAACTGATGATCATGTGAGTAACGTCAGAGCATCTCGTGAAACTGTTCTTTGTGCAAATCTTTATTACATCATAAATGTTTAAAAGTTGTAAAAAAAAATAAAAAAAAGTCTAAACTTAATGTTAAATAAATCTCACAGTTTAAAAATGGCTTACCTGCAATCATATGCAGCCTGATTGGAATTGTCTATTTGTTTGCCATCTTTGGTTTCAGCAGGCTGTTGAACATTAAAATGTAGACCTTGTTCTTATTTAATTGACAACTATTTTCCTGTTTACGTAAAGTAATCGTCACCGTCCGTCGTGTTTTCAGAACTGGCTGCAATCGAAAATCCTTCTCAGAGGCTGGAATGACTTCTTGACCCTAAAAGGGTTATTTGACTCTGTCTAGTATGTCACTTTCAATACACTAAAAGTTTATCCTTATAATTCTTACCAGGCCAACTGTTTTAAATATAAATGAATGGAAGGTCAATTGTCATTCCACAGCGGTTAATCCTGGGAATCTACTGTAGAGGAACAGTCAATGAACACATGGCGACGTCCACTACATCTCATCCAATGAAACTCTACATGGACGATGTTGAATCAAATGAAAAGCCATAACACTCTGCGGCTGGTTTCAAAGTGGTAGTGTATATATCAAAATAGAATAAAATCATCAAACGGTACATCGTCAGGACGTCGTAACAAATTTCTCATGGCTCAGAGATTGCGTACTTACAAAGCACTAAAGATAATCGTTCTACCACAACAAGTACAACAGCAAGCAGGACGTCATGCTGAGCAGACGTGAAGATAAAACACAGGAGCAGGACTTTGGCTCCTGTTAACGAAGCTCACAAGCTGACAATTCAAATTGTACAAAACGCAAATGCTACACACTGATGTTTAACAAAAAACGTCATATTTACAGCACATCAGTCTGCTGTTGGCCGGCCGTCGCCAAAATACTGTACAAATGATCGAATATCTAAGAGACGTAAGTAAATTCTGCTAATTGGTACAAAATTGGTTAACTAAGACCGTCACAAACAGATTCACATGAGTAAAGCTGATTAATTAGGTCAACATTTTTGTAACAGGTTACATATAGTTGAATAGAATTATGACCAAAGAACCTAAACTGAGTTACTGAAGCAGAAAATGGGTCGCACACTGTCCATACAGCACCATACTCACATTCACAACATGCCGTGCCAGACTGACCGACCTCGAGTGAGTCCTTCGTGGTCTTTAGCGCGACCACATTTCCAGTCTTTAACTTTGGCATGTCTTTTCAATTCATCCAGCACTACTACATTTCCATGTCCTCCTCACCCGAGCAGTGGGCCACAGGAAAGACGTACAGAGAAGAGTGTGCGTCTGCAGGAGCACTGGAGGAGCTGTGGGCACTGGGAGGGGTGGGCGATGAACACGGGGTTGGCGGTTGCTGAGATGCGATCTGCTGTTTACGTTGTCTCTGCACTGTGAACTTCCGCCTGCGACAGAAGGGATCGTCGGGCGGTCGCCACAACACCAGCTCCATGCAGGAATGGCTCCTAAAAAAGGAACGCGGGAGACCAAAATGAACCGTGTGTGGGAAAGAAGTGTGTTTTCGTGCTTCTCAAGAAGAACATGGGTCATATGATTCGGGTTACTTCATGGATCATTGGACGTTCTTGTAACAAAATGAAGAGAACGTACACAGACTGGGCCACCGTGTGCGGTAGGATGTCGCCGATGCCGCGCTGCAGACCCTCCTTTAAACTGTCAGACATCACCAGCACCGGCCTCCTCGGGGCCGGCTCCAAATCCAGATCTTCATCCTCGTCATCATCTTCCAGTGTTATTCTGAAATAAAGGGGACAGTATGCGCCGATGTCACCTTTTAATGTGATATAAACATAACATCCATAGCCATCAACACCACTGAATGGTTAAAAAAAAAAAGCCCACTTTAACAGAATAGTAATAATACTATTGTGACGCAGCGATGATGCGGCCAGAAAATAATAATCAAATCCAAACACTGAACAAACTGGGGGTTGTATTTTGGGGCATACGGTTTCGTCTGAGGTCTTATTCTTCTTCTGAAGTCTTATTCTGGCCTTATAATGGCCATTTCTTGCCAAACATGCATCACACGCAGCATAATGCCCACCTGTCTTCGATCTCCTGCAGTTTCCTCTGAGCTGCTTCTACCTCCATGCAGGAGCTCTCCACCTCTGGGCGGGGGGGAGCCGAGGACGACTGCTGCAAAGTCAAGTTCTGAGATGCAGGATGGGGCTGCGGAACAGCGGGCGCAGGAGGGCTGCCGTTACCTGCGGGCCAGTCGCGGCGAGCGCCGCCGCCGCTGCTGCTGCTGCTGCTGCTCGAGTTCTCCGAAAGGCCGACTTCTACCTCGAACATCAACCGCCTCCTTTTAGCAGTGCATCCTCTGAGAAAACATCAAGATATTTATCACAACTCTGATATGCGACCAATCCAAGCACCCAAATGTTAAGCAAGGCTGCTTTTCCCGTGCATCTCTCACGTACTCATCTTCAACTCTCCTCCTGTGCTTCCTGAGGGATCTCGTCTCCCAACTGCGTTGGAAAGGAGGGACAAACATGTCAAAACACATCATACGTGCAGGTTGTGCAGAGGGAATTTGCAATCCTCTCGTTGTCTGCGACATACTTGTTGGATAGAGTTTCTCTCTGCAGGTGACCGGAGGTACTTGCAGATCCGAGATCGAATTCAGGAAGGCTCGTGGGGCCTGAAAATGAATACATGGCTGGCAGACAACCCGGTTCACTGCGCGTGGGAGCAGGACGATGCACGATGATCCGGGCGGGGAAACGATTTGAAGAGATGCACGGGAACACACATATATCCGATTTGCAAGGTCAGTATCGATACCAATCAGCAACAACAAAAAAGTTATTACGTTACATGAAGCACAAATAGTTAACATGTGTTTACACGAGAACATTGCATTACAGTTAACGGCGTGACGTTACCTCAGTAAAACGTTACGAGCACAACGCGCTGGTAATATAACGTGAGTTAAACACATCGGCAGCTTCATACATTCGCTGAATCATACATTTGAAATAAGTAAACAGACCATGCGACGCGTTAACACACTGACCCGTGCAGCTGCCCTTCCCCTTCGTGTTGTGTCGTTAGCTCGTTAGTCTCCGTCAGTCCATGTTGTTTTCATCTGGAATAATCCCGTTAGCAAACAGCAGCGGCACGCGCGAGTCTTGTCATCGTGATACCACATTAAACCCGCATTACGCGGCGCGTGCGGTGAAGTGCGTGGCTGGTCGGGTGCGTTAAGCTCGGCTAGCTAACTCACGCGTCGCGGTGGAAGAATCGTCGAGGTTCTCGAAAGTGCGGATGGCGGGTGTGGGGGATTGTGGGAATTGTAGTCATCGTTCGTAAAGGGAAACGACTTGGCCACGGGTGTTCGTGCTGACCACGCTGTCACTTTCAGAAGCAATGTTAACGAAGTTTAGGTTTTTGTTGAAGCCGTAGCATCAGTTTTTTGTTACTCGGGCTCACGTCAGTTAGGAGGTCAGCGGTCATTCCGGCGCACGTGACGTCCTAAAGACGAAATGTGCGAAGTGAAATAGACACCCGCCCCTTGCTCTGCGTGTTCCGATTACCAAAGAGCATATACGACTGCAAGATAGTTCCACCCCATGTTTATGACTCAGCCAACAGCGTGTGGCTGCTTCCTTCATTGCTTTGTCATCGCAAATGGAAAGTCATGTGACAGTGAAACGCTGTTGTTGTCTACCTACTCAACTCTAGTTCTTCACACTCGAATTACTCTCTGAGGAGGTAAGACACCGCCGTGGAATGCAGCACGTTAAATGCTTAAAAGCAAATGACTAAACTGCTTTGATACGTTTATCGTATTTTGCGACCGAACGTCGCTAAACATATTTACTATTATGTGTAATCCTTTGTTATATCGAATCATTTTTAGATATTGGTGTTTGATATATAACAAAACTATGTAACTAAAATTCGAAGAAGTTTCCTGACCTCTCAACTTTACAGCTGTGCTAACAGTTTGTTACTACTTTTAGGGAAATATTTAAATGTATTGATTTATTTTCATACTGTGCATTACCAAATAGGTTGCCTAGAATGCTGTCTTTGGTCATAATCGTGGGCCTACTGGCTTTTGCCTTTGGTAAACCATGTGGTAAGTTGTTTTGTTTTTAATTGTTTTATATAAATCCAGTAATCAACAATCTTAATGACAGACTGTCCTCATCTGTTTCAACACAGGAAATAACCTCCTTTACAAATACACTGACTCACTGGTCCCCGTCGTTTTTATAATTATTTACACCAGGTTTCTGAATGAGATTAATTTTGCTTGCACTTTAAAACAAAAGTGTGAAATGACAGATAATGTTTGCATCTTTCAGGTCTTATATTATATCCAAGAGAGACATTGAGATTGATAGAACCGAAACACAGCACAGCTAAACACAGCCAGTCCTGGTTTCCTCTTGTTACTGCTGATACTGCAGTTCTGGTTTTGCAATGTTCCAAATGTTCATGTTGATTTCAGCAAGGGAGTCACTGAATAAACCATTTTATGTCTGTGGTCAAAATTTCTGAGTAACATTTTTTCTTTTAATATTCTTTTCCAGCTACTGAAGGCTCCAACAGAGAGTTTCACCTTTCGCTCAATAAGAATCTCCTTCGCTCTCTGGAGACACAGGAAGGACTCCCCAATCCCAGTGTCCACTTGGCATTACGGCTTTCTGATAACCACAACCCTCCCAAGGAGAGTGAACACCTGAACAGACTAAAAAACCTTTTGCACAATGACATTCAAAGGTATTGAAACGGTTTGCCGAAAATAAATTCCTATTTTAAATCTGAATGTCCACTTAACTGATGTTTTTCTTCTTGTTCTCACCTGAACCTGAGTCCCCCGTGTCTTTCTCAGTTCTCTCTCTAACAGCCAGTCCGTTGTCGGCCTCTTAGCGCTGTACACTTTGGCTTTGAAGTCCTCCTGCTACGACTTAAACACGGTGACCTTCACAGTTAGTGAGAAGAGTGAGACGCTGCTGACGCACCTAAAGAAGCAGATGGATGACGAAAAAGACAATATTGCGTGTAAGTTTCCCTTTGACCTTTTGGAGACCAAAGGGTTTGTCCTAAAAGGTTTTTACCATTGTGTTGTGCTACACAATGAGGGAATATTTAGTTTGATTTTAATGCATTTGTCTGAAATAAAATCCGGGAAAATGTCAATAAAGCAACTATCTACTAATTTCATAGTTTTTTAATTTTTTTAAAATTCTTACAGCAAAGTTAAGTTTTTATATAATTTGGTTTATTTTGTTCCTAATCTCCTTTGGGCAGTCAGCCACCGCCCATTGACCAACTACTACCAGTACTCTCTTGGTGTGCTGGCTCTTTGCGTGAGTGGCATCAGGGTCAACAACCATGTCAGTAACAAGCTCATCAAGGCAGTAGAAATGGAACACTTCAAACATGGAGACGAGAGCACCGGTGAGTGTAACCCGCACAAATGTTTTCTTTTAGCTGTTCAGAATGTTTATCAAATATATGCATAAAGGCAGGAATTCATCCCATGAAGTCCCATGAAAGTGTTTTAGTTGCTTTAGTTACTTTTGAACAGGTAAATTGCATAAATTTGTGATTTATTTTCTGGTGGGTCACCTAACAGACCATTGCCAGAATGAAAGGTTGTGGTGGTAAACTGTTGTTGCCTAGCCTCAGTTCCGTTAACACCACCACAATGCTTTTACATGAGAAGAATCCAGCAAATATTGTTTTGTTTTTTGTGTGCGTCACATTAAACCCTCAATAAACCTGCCAAATGCACACAATGTTATCCAACGGTCTGGCCCTAGATACCAATGCCATGGCTGGAATGGCACTTCAGTGTGTGAAGGACGCTGGTTCTCACGTGCAGAACGCTGCTGAGCTCGACGCAGCCCTCAGCCAGATCAAGCAGAAGCTCTTGGCCTCCCGTCGGGACGACGGTCACATCGGCAATGAGTTCAGCACTGGCCTCGCCGTGCAGGTATATATCTTCTTCTTAGAGTTTCATCCAGCGTCCTTTTTTCTCTGCTGGACACGTCACAGAAAAACATCTTCAGAGCTTTAACATACTCATTTGTTGCGTCCAAGGCATTAATAGCAATGGGCAGCAGAGTTGCAGAGTGCGCTGCCTCAATGGAGGCCATGAGGACAGACGCCAGAAGCAACACGTACAACAACCCCATGGCCCTATCGCAGATCCTCCCAGCGCTGCAGCACAAATCCTACCTGTCGATTAAAAGCAAGGAGTGCCTCAATGAGGACGGTGTGTGCAGCATTACTCTACCGTGGTCACTGCGATCCCCGACTGTGTCTGTATGGTCACTGTCTGTGTCATGGTGGTCTTACAGACACGCTGGTGGTGGAGCCCATAGATCCTGTGGTGGATTCAGGAAGCAAGTCCACGGTGACGGTGTTGGTGGAGGTGGTGGCGTCCAGCGGGGCAGCTGCTGTTTACTCCGTCGATGTGCCAAAGGGAGACTCTCTGTTGGAGGCCCTTGAAATTCTCAAGGGCAAGAATGTTGGCTTCACGTGAGTTCACGCGGGGTTCTTTTTCTTCTTAATACAGTGTGATTGCTTACATTCAGTACAACCTGATGCTGTTTGCCAGGTTTGAGAAGGAGTCCAGCCTGTGGGGAAACTTCTTAAGTGCAGTAAACGGAGAGCAGGCGCGACAGAGCGACCGCAGATACTGGCACCTCTCCTCTGATGGCACTGCACTCATTCAGGGTGAGGGCACGCACGCACACACACACACACACACACACACACGCACATACACACAATATGTAATGACTCACTTCATTCAAAGCCATTTCCATTGCTTTTAATTTTCACGTTTCCATTAAATAAAATGATTTTTTTCCTACCCCAGGTGTCAATGACTTCAAGATTGAGGCTGTGCAAAAAATAACCATCAAAAACACAAGTTACTAGATTGATATGGATCCAAAGCAGTTAAATCTCTTTTCTACTATGTTGTTTAGAGATTATTCTTCATTTTTCTGATCCCATTATGTAATTTAGAACTTATCAAACTCACATTGCTCCTCTGAATATTCAAACATTAGTATGTAAATTGTAATGCTTTTTACACATGAATTATTAAGTGAGTGTAAAATGTTTTATGATTGTAGTTTTAAACAAATACAAAATTTCTGAATGTCTGTGTTTTGTATTTTTTTTGTGTGTGTGTTTTTACTATGGATTATGAATATTAATTGGTAATGGCACACATACAGTAATGTAGGAAAAAGATTAGCTTCAATTGACACTAACTATCTTTTGTTTGCTGATGCAACTGGTCATGTTTATACCTGACATGTCTACATGTATATCTAATATCTAATCATGGGAATAAAACCCCAATGTCACCAAAGTCACACAGCTAGAGGGAAACGGGAAGTTATAAGAAAGGCCCCACCTTTAAATATTCTCAAATAAACGTATATGAAAAGCCACACATTAGGTTTCATGTTTTTCTGGATAAACATAAATAGCGGAACTGATCTCATTCGTCCCGGGGACGTTTTAGGGACACGCGCAAGTGTTTCCGGGTTACAAGGAACGTTGTATTAAATATATTTACACACATCTCTCTCTTATTCTATTTTTTGGTATATGTAATACATGTTATTCGCTACCAATGTTCTGTCCAAACGGGGCTGTTAAGGTCCGTGAAAGGATTTTCACGCGAAGGCACAGAACTCAACACCGGAAGTAGTTTGTTGTTGTTGTTGTTCTTAGCGTGTGGACACGGTTTCTCATGAACTAACGTTTCGTTCAGTAAAGCCCAATATTGTCCCCCCCCCCCCCCCCCGCATCTTACGTGTGCATTGATAAGGTGAGCGCGCTGTGACCAATTCCGCCAGTATATTGGGGTAAATTGGTGGCGCATTTAAGCGTAAATCGATTCTTAGTGACCGACGTAGACCGCATACCGACATCACGTGCCTTAGATCTCTGCACACCTGTCACCATGTCCGCCATCTGTCGATGCGCTCGGTTCAGTCGCGTTTCCACCTTAAAGACTAATTGGATGCAGGTGATGACATTCGGGTGCAACGCTCATCCGCTACAGAGGAGGACACCTGACGTCCTCCGCAGGGTCCGAAACGCGACTCACCTAAGTGACGTCACCATGGCCTGTAAGTCAAGGGACCTGTCAAGTTCATCTGAGAGTGGAGCAGCTCGAGTGAAGAGGGTTTCTATCGAGGGCAACATCGGTAAAATCAGTGACGTTTTATGAACACTGTTTCAAAATAAGATCTTCTTTTGTCCCAACCTCATAGTCTGGTAATATGTGTCTCCTGGGTTTATGTTCTCTCACTCATCAGCTGTGGGAAAGTCGACCTTTGCGAGACTCATGCAGTCAGCCTGCAGGGACTGGGAGCTGGTGGCAGAACCTGTCAGCAAGTGGCAGAACATTGAAAGCGGGACCTCGAAGGTGTGTGTTTGCACGCGTTCTGACCAGCTCTTCCCCAACAAAAATCAAGGGCAGCCAAACTGACCGTCTCCACTCGTGTCTTCGCCAGGGGACAGACGCGTCCCCCCAGTCGACGGTCAGCAACCTTCTGCAGATGATGTACCAGGACCCTGAGCGCTGGTCGTACACATTTCAGACCTATTCCTGCATGAGCCGTCTGAGGACGCAGCTGCAGCCTCCTCCGGCGCGCCTACTGCGCTCAGAGGGGACACCTGTCCAGGTGTATGAGCGCTCCATCTACAGCGACAGGTGGGGGAACGAGTCACGATGGGTAACCTTGGATGGATTCCCTTTGAACAGGGAATCGGTTCAGTGGGACTAGTTTTGAGAAGTGTGACCCATAATCTCCACGAGCGAGAAGATTATGCCCCAGTCTTAGAATTGGCGTAAAATGGATATTTCTTTTATGAATTAATTCACTTTTCTGAAATGTCTTTGGTTAAATGAAACTCCTGTGTCTTGTCAGATACATCTTTGCCCTGAACATGTTCGAGCTGGGTTGTATCAACTCGACAGAGTGGGCAGTCTACCAGGACTGGCACTCCCTCCTGGTGGAACAGTTTGGACACCAGGTGGAGCTGGAGGGCATTATCTACCTCAGAGCTCCACCAAAGGTATGCGAGATGTCACGCAACCTTCAGACAATACAAGAAATCTGGCCACACGTCTGCAGCACATCCTATTTTTCATCTATCTATCCATATAATATAGGCCACTGGTGTTTGTGTCCGTAACCCGATGTCACGAAGCCACGCGATTCACCTTTTAATCCTTTTCTCTTTGAAAGAGACACTCATGCATTGCACCATTGTGGTTTACCAGAGATGTATGGAGCGTCTGAGGTGCCGGGGAAGGGCGGAAGAGACCGGCGTGAAACTGGAGTATCTGGATAAGCTGCATGTTCAACACGAGAGGTGGCTTGTTGAGAAGAGCACTGAGTGAGTGTAAATGAAGGGAATGTTTGTTCTCTTCAGACGTCTATGTTGTGAACATTCTTAGTGACTACTGAAATGTAAAACAAAAAGAGAAAGTCACATGGTCTTTTGAGGTGTAACTTAACTCTTTTTAGATTTTAGAGTCATTTTGTGAAGATATTACACTTGAAATTGGTATTTGGCTGTTATGACTAGTGAATGATCCGACCACAGTCTTTGTATGAAAAAGGAAATAAATTCCCCCAAATCACCAACACCTGCGGAGGTGCAGCTTCTGTATCGCAGGGTCGGTGCTGTTTGTGGTGACGGTCAGCAGCGTGTGGTCGGTGTGATGCAGCTCAACGCTCTCTTTTCAGATTACATTTCGAGAAGTTAAAACGGATACCTGTGTTGGAGCTGGATGCCAGTGAGGAGTTTCAGAGCGACCCAGAGGTGCAGGAGGAATTCATAAGAAAGGTATTTTTATTTGTTGTATGTTTATATAAGAGCTGCCCCCAGGTTAAACCACACAAGGGCCTCGTCCCAATGTTGGAGGTTTTACATCTTCACAGTGTTTGGTCCAAGGAGATGTATTTATGTTGTGTGATCTGATGTTTGATGTGTTGTGTGTCTCTGATTTATTAGCTATCCTAAAATACCCTTTTCTCCACAGATGAAAAACTTCTTCAAAGCTTTATAAGAAGACGTCCCCAGTGGGAAACGTATGACAGCAGTCAGGCCTCCGTACGTCATAGGGGAAATCTAAAATAGTATTGAAGGTTCTCTCTCTTTTGGTATTTTGCAGCATTACACAAAACACATTTATTTGTTACATTTTATTCTGCTTTTGTTGTTTGCATGTGAGTGTTTTGAGATTCAGTGGGAAGTTAGAGTGAGTTTTTACACTGTTCTATCTAGACTAAGTCTGTGCTGTCACTTCTTCAGCACATTTTTAACACAATATTGACTGACAATTGAAAAGTATTGTAAATTTCTTGTCTGTTAGCAAATAAAAATCTATTGTTTTCTAGCAATGCATTTTCCATTGTCTCATCAATTAAATAACATATTTTATTCCTATGTTCTATATGTGTGAAATTGTTACTTTTGTCATTGTCACTAAGCAGAGACGTCCTAACGGCTCTGCAGCATTAAAGGTGTTATTTGGGAATCGTTTTTTCACAATTCAAAAGGATTCGGCTCCCTGAGTGAATGTAAAAGGCCCTTTGACAGGACAATGACCTTGGCTAAATGTTTTCTTTTTCTCCCCCTCCGGTGTGCTCTGATGATCAGAGGGGCTGTTCAGAGGCCTGCAGTCATCAGGGGTCATCAAAGGGCAGCTGTCCACTATAAAGGGGGCTGTCTGGAGCTCCGTCTGCACATAGCATCATTTCAGCCCGAGACCAGCTGGAGGAAGGACGGCGTTCTTTGACTCACTCTCATTACATCCGGAGTAGGTTTTGCAGGTTTCAGTTCAAATGGAAGCCAGAGTCCTGTCAGTTTTGTGCACATTCCTCTTTTGTTCTGTTGGAGTGGTTTTCTCCACACAGGGGCACAGATATCTTAAAGAGCACAAGTCCAGCCTGGCATTCAGAAATGTCTCGTTCAGTCATCGCAGCAGATATCCTCTATACATGATGCAGCTGTACCGCTCCTTCAAGAGCGCCGATTTCCTAACATCATCAGCTGTCAACGCCGCTCCAGTGCAAGGACGAAACTCATCAACGCACAGTTCTGACTCCGTCCTGAGTCTGATGGGTAAAGGTGGGTAAGCCCTGCAGATTTCCTGTTTCTTTCACAATGATTACCTCCACCACTGGGTATACAGCACTTTACAAACTGTCAGTTTCTTCGTGTGTACTCTATTCTCCAGCAGCTCTTTAGTTGGTGCGTTATCTGCATTATCAGACACTCCCTCTTTACAACCCAACCAGCGTCAAACTGCTCTTTGACTTTAAAGGCTTTGTCTGTTTTTTGTGTGGGAAGGTGTGTATATTAGCCCTCAGACGTCCTTGCACAGCGGGGTTCAATACACATCCTGTCCTGTTCACCCTCCCACTCCAGTGTTTTGACATTTGTTCAGGGGGTCTGGTCGGCCCACGGAGCCCGTAGACTGACGCGCGCGACTCTTGAGTTCTGATTTACATGTCACGTCTCCCTTTTTAGGTTGCTATCAAGTTGGTGAAAGATGGACGGTCACGTTTGACATGTCATCCATCTCTGCCAGTGAGCTTGTCCAGCTGGCAGAACTTCGCATCAGACTACCTTCCTTCTCCGGCTCTAAGCGCGCCACAGTGGATTTGTATCACTCTCGAAAGCGGAGCTGTGACCCGGAGAGCGCTTTGTGCCGGGATGAGCAGCTTTTCTTGGGGAGCTTTGGCACATCAGCCAGCACCACAAAGAAAGGTTGGAGGGTTTTTAATGTGACCGCTCTGTTAAAATACTGGCTGTACCAGGGAGAAAGGGGGGCCGGCCAGGAGGCCTCGGGGGAACCTGAGTCGGACCACGGGAGCGGCATCGGGGATGTGGGTGAGATCGCTGACAAGTTCCTCGTCAAAACTTCGAGGCAAAGAAAAATATACCATCCGACCACAAACAGGGTCATGATGGTGATCTTCTCCAAACATAACTTGCCCCAGGAAGGACACACGGCTTACAGCCTCATTCACACTGTGGAAAACTCCAAGTATGTGACGATGGACAGAGCCAGCAGTGACAGACAAAGTCGTCGTCACAAAAGGAACAGAATGGAGAGGATGAGAGTGGCGGCAGGAGCTTCACCTACTCCAGCAGCAGCAGCAGAGCCGGCCCAGAGGCCTCTGTGTCGGAAGGTGGACATGTGGGTGGACTTCGAACACATCGGCTGGGACGAGTGGATTGTGCACCCTAAGCGCTACAATGCATTTCGCTGTGAGGGAGAGTGTCCAACACCACTGGACGACTCCTTCAACCCCACCAACCACGCGTACATGCAGGTGAGATCTTTCTCCTTAAGCACGATCTTAAATAATATTTGGTATAGTCGCTGGTTTACTGTCACGTTGGAAGTAGCTCAGTTTGTGGGGGCTGGGAAACGTGCGGTTCCAGTGCAGCAGCACGGCCTGTGGCCTGGTAGCTGGAGAGGTGCAAGTTCACCTCCTGGGAACTGTCGAGTTACCTTTTGAGCAAGGCATTGAACATCCAAAAGCCCTGGGGCCCCGCTGCATCCCTCAAACATATTTGCAGGTGTATGTGTAAGGGTCCTATGTGAACGTTGTTTGCATTTTGGGCCTCTGTATGAAAAAGAAAAAAAAATCCATTAATTAAGCAATTTGGTTCTTTTCATTCATTTTGAATTACTCGTATTTTTCAGAGCCTCTTGCAATATCACCATCCAGAAAGAGTGTCCTGCCCACACTGCGTGCCAACGCGCCTCAGCCCGCTCTCCATGCTGTACTACGAGAACGACGATCTGGCCCTGCGGCATCACGAGGACATGATCGTTGAGGAGTGCGGATGTCACTGAAGGCCGACGCGTCCCCGGTTTCACTGCGGCGCCGAGTGCGACTATTGACGGAGCACAATCGTGAACTTTAGCTCAACTGCTTCTGTCTCCGTCCGTTGAATTTGAATATATTTCATCCATACTGGGTGGTTCGCAATAGCCTGTATCTTTAGTATGATAAGCAAATGTTATATGTTGTGTCTATTTATACATTATAATGTATGTTTTGTACATAAAATATGAAAGCATAAATTAAAACATTATTTCCACATGCTTGTGATGATTTATGTTTTTTGGGAAGCTCCACTGTGGAATTTGAGACGTTCCAATATAGTTTTTGAGTATTGGGTAGTAGTTTTCTAATAGGTTGCACTAATATCATGTGCGGTGTTGTAAAGGACAGGAGACTTTAAGTCTGTTTTTCATCTGTTTTTACTTTTAGTGATTTCTGATCGAATGAAATACACAAATAAAAACCACATGGGCACATAGGACCTGCTTGTAAATACTCACCCACGTCGGAATCTCACTTGTCCTCTGTGACTTGTGACCAGCTCACATTTTAGTGTATTTGCCTTCACCTCCAATCCACATCCTCGGGTCGCTTACGGCGCACACATCATCAGAGGTCATTAGTGTCCTTTCTTGCCAGGCTTCTTTTGTGGATTGTGATCAAACAGGCAGGTCGAGTGGAACGACACAGAAGTGTACTGAGGGATGGGCCCGTGGGGGAGAGAAAAGCGGTAGCACTTGTTTATGTTGGAGGGGGTGGGAAGGGGGGGGCAGAGGGGCAGGAAGCAGAGGTGACAAGGAGCGATTTCGACCCCAAACAAACCGAGAGCAATGGAGAGAATGGAGGGAGTCCACGTCTGGATGGTGAAGCTACTGTGGAGGAAGAGCAGGACGGACTGGAACTGATCAGCTGAAACCATTCAATCCACACTTCCACCCAAATAAGACCAGTACTCTCACAACTGGCCAGTGATGACGAAAGACAGCTGCAGGCTTCTAGCACAAGTTACCTAAACAACTGGAACGCATCCACTGTTGTACAAGTTATACAATAACCACATACAGTGCAAGATAAGTATTTAATAATTTAGCCGATGTGTTAACTTGACACTTTGGCAAGTGTCAAGTTAACACAGTAGCAGGAACTTGATGTCATCACCTCCAAATAATGTGTCAGTTTTTACACATTGTCTCCATCCTGAACAAACCTTTCTGTTCAAAACACCCTGCTGGTCAGGCGTTTGCACTCTTGCCAGAGATAAAGTATTACAAGCTCATGGGCCCAGCGCTTAACTTAGTAATCATTCGATCAATCAAGTCAGTAGAGTATGGACCACATTGTCTTAGATCTTTTAAATAGTATTTTTCAGGCTCTTTTGAGAGAGAGAGAGAGAGAGGAAAGTTTAATTCAAAACCGAGCCTCCGCAGTCAGGATGAGTTGCAATAATGTTTGTCCAAAGACATCCATCATTTAAACCACTTATTCAAGACTCACATCCGAGGGAAAGCCTGGTAAGCCACTCAAAATGCACCCAGCACACAGTGCAGCAAAAAGGTGCCAAAACAGAGGTGGAACGGGAATGCGACATGATGACATGACCCCATCCGGCTCTGAGGAAGGAGAGAGCGTCTCCCAGCTCTGTGCATTTGTATATTGACCTCTCTTCATACACCCCACGGGCCGAGGTTATCAGTGGCCAGTGAGCTTCTTGAGGAATTCCTCTGATATGACTTGTGCTGAATCAGGGAAGCAAAGGAAGAGCTTAAGTATCGAGAGCAACATGAAGATTTATCATTTCAAAATGTATATTTGCAATATTACAGACATTCACAGAGATGACAGGACACAATATCACACTCGTGACAAAAAGGGGGTTTGCTTTAATGGTTTGTCACCCGACAAATTGTGTGAAAATCTGTTTCAAAAATGTCATCAACAAAATTATGTTTTAGGTTATCTGTATGACACTTCAGATGAAGAACTCCTTTTCGAACAGATTATACAGTATATTGAACCTTTCAAGGCAACCTCTGAAAAGTGGTGTCAGGAAATAAAAACGCATCAAGAGAAAATGCCTTTCGGAAGGATTTTGAATTCAGCAAATTACTCTTTTTCCCTGATCTTCACTGCCATTGACTTATCCCCGTTCTTGGGATGAATCTTTGTTGGTGTTTACTTCTCAGCGCTTATTTTAAAACATATAGCCACAATAGGAAGGCACACTTTGTCAGACATAAATCAGCTAAATGCCTTAAGCCTGAGAGGACATTACAGATTTGTTCTGCTCATAGCAACTGTGATTGATAGACACACGCTTGAGATAATGAAGGCCAACCTCAGTCCTGAATGGAATGATGGGAAATAAGAAGGCGTTCCTGGGCCTTTATTCAAAGCCTTGTGTTGGTAGTCTGACATCCTGATGCTGCATCCAGGACCCCCTAAATGTCCATTTCAAATTATGAATCTTCACCTGGACACCTGTTTGCTTTATAAATTAATTTATAAATATATATATATATCATTTATAAATTCATTTATAAAGCAAACATCACATCTTTAACAGTTGCAAGTTATATTTGTATCGGATGTAATTTTCAGGGTACTGGAGGACAGAATCACTACTTGGGAATATAATGTTGACTAACATCTGGCAGTAAAATTGGAATGGGGCACCACATTGATGATTGATTGCTACCCAATGAAGCATCCGTCCATCCATCCATCCAACTTTAAACCGCTTTTCCTGCACACGGGGTCGCGGGGGGCTGCAGTCAATCCCAGCCAACTTCACAATGAAGCATGTTTGACAGATTACTTACATCTTACAGTTATCTAACTTCAAAGGCATAACAATAGGGTTTGGCAAATCAAATAAATATGTATTTAAAGTGAATGTTTAGAATTTACCCACAACAACTTTTCAAGTTAAGAATAGGGAAGTTTTCTTCTGGGAAAGTGGATTAAATTAACACAGATAATTTGCCAAGAAAATGTTGACAACGGTAGATGAGATTGATTCAACCTTTCAGGTTCGCTGACAGCTGATTTACAGAACTAACAGTTATGACATTTGAAAATGATGTTAATGCGATGGATACATGCTAAACTGCTGATTGGTTGAGGCCCAAAAAATACTGTAAACAGAAAACCACCAACAGTGAAACAATTTAAGGATGAACAATAACGTGGCATGAAATGGTGAAAATGACCTACTTGTATTATATAATCTAACCTCAAGCCATTATTAATGACAGACATAATGGGGGGATAGTGATAAACATAATATAAATGCGTTAGAGGATTGATTAGTGCTTCAATTACTAGATGAATATGCATTTGAAAAATGTCTCTGAATCCATACCTCTAAATGCAGCTGCATCCCTGAGATGTTTGTCTGAGGTGTAAACAAACCAGTGTGGCGGCTGTCAGTTGCATTTATATTGTTGTTTGGGATTTCTCCCTCATGGTTCTTTTTACGTTGTCCTCAGAGGGAGGAATGGTCACCCCTGGAATTTTGGGCAGACCACATGGAGGAGTCTTTGCCACTGGAGAGCTGCGACACGCCAGCAGGAACTTTCGGTCGCAGATGATCCTGGTACCTTTAGTGTGAAGAGGAAGTAAAGAGAAGGATGATGACCGGACATGGAGCAGTGACAGAGTACTTACATCGCAAATGCATTGCTGGTTCAGTCCATTCATCATATTAAAGCATGTATGTCCATTAAATTTCACCATGACACACCATTGCTGCCACAGCTAAAATATATTGCCGCGTTGTTAATGATACTTACATTTAAGGGTCCCGTCTGTTTAATTCCATCAACGCTATAACCACCTATAAATGTCTGTTCCAGGGTCTTGAGTGTGGGTACTGCAAGTTTATCCTTACGCTTAATTCAACAACATAACAGAGTAATTTACACTGGACTGTTTACATGAGAGGAACATTATGTATTCTTTAATGTCAACCCATATATTGCGATTAAATCAAACGTTAAACTTAAAATGTGATGCATGTTTAGTAAAGCCAAATAGCACTGGTATTAATTTTACTGAAAGGCATCCCAAATCAAATCGTTAAAGCTTAAACTAGGTGACATAAACACATAAAAACACATGACCAACGAGAACCAATCCAAAAATGGGAGCGTATGACTGACAATACTATGTGCCTCACGATTTGATGTGGTACCGAGGAAACGCAGCGTGACGTCTCTGTTAAACGTCGGACTGCGCGTGGACCACAGGCTCAAAATTGAAACCACCAATCACCGCGTTGGTTGTCGGTGACGTAAGACCAAAAAAACCCGTCACTAGCGGCAGAGGACAGGTGGGTGTGGCCAACGGTCAAAGATCAGCTGACAAAAAAACACAAACCAAACACAATCTCGTTGAACGACAAAGCAGCGACATACACGTTTTACACCCCCCACCCGCCTCGGCTCCCTACTGCCGTGTAGCCTCACGCCCCTGCGTGCTAACGTTAGCAGCTAGCTTTAGCAGAACTAGCAGCAGCTCGTTCCACACAGCGTCATTTGACGGCGACCGACCTCACGTGAGTTCTCACGAGCGTTTCCTGCTCCCACCGACATTACGGCCGTTTATTGACACGATTATACACCGGGGTGGTGCTGAACAGGGTGCCTCCGGGAGTGGTGGAGCAGTCGGGGGGCATGTGGTCGGTGATGGTCACCCTCCTGGTCGACGGGACGACCTTGGCGGTGGTCTTCTGGCAGTCAGTGGACATGTTGTCTAAGCTGCAATACTCTCAAACTGGCTGAATAAACGCGAGGGAACAAACACAGCCACACCAGGCACAATGTCGGATACATTGAAATACATACCTCTTTTCATAAGTGCAAATTATGTAATGTATTATCTAAATTCGTCACATTATGATGCAGTCCTGCACACAAAGTGTCCAGGTTGTGTCTTTTAAAGGAGCTCAGCACATGTTTTCTTTGCTGCCTTCATGCACACAAAACAACACGCAGACAAGCCGCAGAGGAAAAGCCCGACTGGACAAAATAAAGCTATAGCGCCCCCTGCTGGCATCTAATGCCCGTGCATCGGCCGAACAACTCGTATAATATTATACAGATCCATGTTTTCCACTAAATTGGAATTTGAGAAGAGAAAGTATCAGTATGTTGTTCCTTTTATAGTCAACTAACTAACTAACTGCCTAGTGTATTTTAAGTTTTGAGCTTGCAGAAACCTTTAAACATGTCTATTAAGATGTGTTCATGTTCATAACAGGAGTATTGACAGGATGATGCCCGATACAATTCAGTATGTGTAAAACAAATACGGAATGATCTTCAGCTGTTGGGTTCACCTGATTCATGTGCAAGTGTCTCACACAAAAGTACACACGCTGTACACAAAGACATTTCATTTCTTTATTAATTTTGTAAATGTTGAGCTGGTGTACAGAGTAAATTGTCAATAGATGTCCTCGGATTTGATTGGATTAAAAGGCTTTTACATGTATATTTTAAATTCATGTTTTACTTTTCATAACAATAAAAAAAGCAAATAAAACAAGTTAAAATACCCACAAGACCCATATTGTATCCCCAGGTTGCAGGCATTACCCAGAACTCAACAGTATCTTGGTAGCTACAGCTGCATGATGCTAAAAGTACATCCATAACATAACTAATCCCAATTGACAAGTAAGGGTGCATAGCATTCTAAGTAAATATATATAGATATTTTAATATATTTAATATATATATATATATCTTTATATATATAGCCTTTTATTTAAAAACATTTTCTGTGCATGTGCGCAGTTGCAATCCTTAGTATTGAGTAATATGCTATTGCGTTAATAATGTCTTCAATCCATTCTACAGGAATATACATGTGTTCTCTAGTTTTTGCAACAGTTAATATTTTTGCATGAACTTGTGGCATGGCATCATCTCAGGGCTTTACATTGTTCATTTTTGTGATGCAACCACTCCTTCCTCTGCTTGTATCCAGTTGGACTCCTCCTTTCAAACCGTGTTCGAACTGTCACCACGTGGAAGCCTTTGAATTGGTTCGGTCTAATATAAGTAAAGGGGACATCATATATATATATATATATGTATATATATATATATATATGTATATATATATATATATATATATATATATGTATATATATATATATATATATGTATATATATATATATGTATATATATATATATATATATATATATATGTATATATATATATATATATATGTATATATATATATATATATATATGTATATATATATATATATGTATATATATATATATATATATATATGTATATGTATATATATATATGTATATATATATATATATATATATATATGTTTATATATATATATATATATATATATTAGGGTTGTGTTGAGGAAAAATGCTTGTCGTCTTGAATGACCACTCACTCGCAGCCATTAAGCCTGCCACACAGTTGTTCTTTCTAACTTGAAAGTGCTCGCTCTTATTGTCTTTTCATCCGACTCCAGCCGTCACCAGTGGACTTTTAAACGGCCTGTTTCACGAACCAACCCAAGCGTAAACCAGAACTACGAGCCCTTAGAGAGCAAACCGTAAGCAATAACATAGTAGTAAACAATTACACTGCTGTGTGAATTATTTTTTGACATCCAACCTTTTCTGGTTATTCAAAAATAATTAAATAGAAATAATATTTGATGAAGGGATGTTTGTTGAAATGCCCAGAACCCATGCATTTGAAGGCTTATTTTTAAATCTCTCATTTTATATGATTTCTCTTCAGTGTTGAGTGTTGATGATCAACAGCATGAATTATTTTATGGAATCACCTACTAAAGTTAAGAGCCACCACAAATGACTACTTTAGAACAAGACTTACAGCATACCAAGACTTTACATTCATCATCCCCGGCTGTGAAACCGTACTAAAACAAACACATATTGATGGGTAATTATTGCGTTCTTGTGACTGACATTTTTTTTTCCGTAATAAAGCATTCAAAGTCTAACATAATGTTTAAAATAAATGCATATAGATCATTTATGTCATGTGAGACGGTACGCTCATTAGGTTGAATAAACTTAATAAAATATTGAAATTGGAGTTTTAATCTGAGAGCCTCTTTGTCCATTTGCATTTCTACTTCCTGTGATATTATCACAATGTTGACACGTCCCAAATTCCAGGACGGACTGTGTGATATTTAAATCTCTCGCACTGATGAACACATGCACGCACTTACTCTCAATAGGATTCATTTCTTGCTGTTGTTTAAAAGCAATATTAAACACACCTACATTCCCTGATGAGTACATGAGGCACACCATTATTTGCCCGATCTTGATCTAAAATGTAACATCATATTTTTTTCCAGACAAGGCAAAGTGATGAGATGTGGGTTTCTAATGTACTGACATCATTTCTGAGTGGAGCGAGGAGTAGCGTAAAGCTGTGATTTACAGCCCGAGCTGGAAGAATACGAACTATGATCATAAAATCTCTCTCTCCCAAACACACGATCAAACACATTCACACAAACAATCTTTCCCTTTTGTAAGCAATTATTGCTTCTTCTGAAGTAAAGTTAAAACAGTAAATAAGGACAAATAAAGAAAAAAGGAGTGAAACAAGATACAGGCTTCCGGAAGGGTCAGGCTCACAGTTGCGGGTCGGTATTACAGTTTCTCCTCACAGTGATTGGTGACTGACTTTCTACCTTCCAAACAATCGGCAAGGAGACAAACATCAGAGCTCAACACGTCCTCGTACCCTTGGCGCGACACTTTCCTTCATCTCTCACTCACACCAGTGCTACATTATTACCAGGATTTCAGCCACTGCACTCTCATGAAGTGACATCTTCTGGTGGTGGTGAGACGGTCTATAACTGCACCATATGTGGGGTGGTGTCGCATACTGCACTTTGAGGTCAAACAGGCACTGCTACGAGCTGACGGCAATATCCTGCCCCTTGATGGAGGTGGACGGGGCTGCTACATCTACTCTGAGAGGCCGCCTGGAGCAGTGCGGGTGGGGTGAGGGGGGGGCGATACGGGCAAGATTTAGGGCGAGGGTGTTATGGACAGACAGACATCTGATTAACTGAAACCTAAAGTATGATCGGCACACTGGGGAGGAGGGAGGTGATGGAGAAGGTTTCTTGATATTGTGTCACTCGCCGTGTGTCTCTTTGTCACTTTCTCCGAAAGGCGAAGCAAGAAGAAGAAAGGTCAGAGAGGCAGGTTCAGTGTAGAAACCCTCCCTTCCCAACACTCAAAAGCCCACAGTATAGTAAATGACTTACATCATGTCCTCCCTCTGCAGTGTGACATGGCAAAAGCGAAGACTGAAAGCACAAAGAAACAAAGGACCTGTCGCACAAAAAAACAACATTTAAAAACAGGCAGAGCGACACAACAATTGCATGTTCTACCCACAAAGATTTCAAGATATATAGAATAATATATAGGTTCAGACCAGAAACCAGAAAAACAAAAATGTACCTGAAAAAGCAGCATCAGTGGCATGGCATAGGGATTTTATAACACAAACAACACACGTAACACACAGTCCCGTAGGGCATTTTAGTGCATACAATATTATGTACAACACTGATATCGTTGGGAGATAATTGTAGCTTTTCTGGACTTTGAGAGGTTTAGAACTAGTTTGTGATGCTCGTAGCCGGAAGAGCGTGGCAGCGAGGAGGAGGAGGAGTAACCTGTTGCTTAGAGATTATGTAATTCTGAGTATTTTCTTCTCCTCTTTTTATTAATCACATTTTCCCCTGTTGGTTTGGAAAAAAAACATCCAGTACCGTACATTGCATGCCTGTCCCATACAGCTGTATGTCCTTCCCATCCCTCCCCACCCTTTGACCCACCCTTATATTCCCCCAGTTTTTGTAGTTAAAGACAGGCCATGCGGCAGCAGTCACTCATGCTGATACAGATAACAGGAAGCACGTTTTGGTTGCTAGTTTTTTTCCGTTGTTTTTTGTTTTTATATGAAATCATGCTTCAAGCGTATTAGATGTATTTTTTTTCTCCACGGTTTCTTTAAAAAAAAAAAAAAAAAGTTAATAAAAACTACAACTAATCCATATCCTTCTCTTCCGGTGCATGGCCGTTATGGTTGTCGTGACGTTGCCGTTCATTTCTGTCTGTCTGGCTTTTTTGTGTGTTCCTTCTCCTGTCAGCTGCTGCTGGTCATGTGTCCGTGTAGGATGGTTTTGGTGAGGTGGTCGAATCCTGTGGAGAACTCTGTGGAGAAACGGAAATGCGCTGACTTAGCAAAAACTCAACTATCCATAGAGCAGGTCACATGCAAGCAGGAGTAAGTCGATGTAAATTTGGTAACCTTCCCCTAAAATTAGCGCTCAGACAGTACTTCATCTAAAGTATTCTGATAGGTCTTTGCAACACTACAACAGTAAAACAGCACATTAGTTTTGCAGAAGCATTCAAGACAAAAAATGGTTGGCAAAAGTGGTTTGAAATTCAGTTGTGAGTCGCTTGATGTATCAGTAATCTCAGGAATGTCAAGGCCTTTTGGTTAGAAAGGGCTGGTCACACACACACACACACACACACACACACACACACACACACACACACACACACACACACACACACACACACACAGCAGTGTCTCCAGATAGCAATACCCAGGACAGCTGGCCTTACAGCTTTGACTTTGAGAGCTGTCACTTTTTTTAGTCAGTTGTTTTGAGTGCACACTGTGCCAACCCTTTTTCCAGCTAGTCACTACATGCAAGAAGGAAAAAAGTGACATTATTTTCCATTTAACACTGACTGAAACTCTAAATATTGTAATCCATTGTATATTAGACAGACCAAAAAAATAGTGTCACTGAATACTTTTATTGAATCTATTCAATAAATGACTGAGTTTGTTAAACTTAACGTTGAATTGGTTCTGTGCCAGCATCACATTACATGTCATTGGTGTTAAATTAAAGGTACATTCCGTTGCATTTAATCCAGAGAGACTGGATTAAATGGTCTAGCCCACGGGTCGGACGAGGCGCTGTGGGTCAGTCCCGTACCTGCAGGGACGCTGCACTCTGTCTGCCTCACTGCTTAACTCTCCGCAGACTGGCACATTTCACTATCTGAGCACCCTTCTTCACATCCACAGTATCGGGCTACATCGGGGGGGAGGGAGGGGTTGGCAGCAGAGGAGTTGCGAGGATTGAGAAGAGGTGGGGAAACAGATGCCGAGGTTGAGGGAACATTAGTAAGGGAGGGTAAAATGAAGGAGCCGGGGGAATGAAGAGAAATATGAGGAAGTGAAACAAAAATGGATAATCAGATGAGGGAAATATAGCCACAATGAAAGAAACAACGAACAAACAGGAAAAACAACAGATATGAGATGAAATGTGAGGAACAAATAAGTGACGGGATGGAAGGAGGGTGGGGAGGGAAAGAGGGGGGGAGAAAGAAATGATGCATAAACAGTCAAGCAAAGACAGAAAAGATGGGTGGCAGTTGGAAAGACAGTTGAACACGAGAGCGCATCAGAAGCATCGACAGTCTTTGGGATTCAGAGTAGACCAAAGTCAAATAACATTGCAAAAATATTTTGATATTTTAGATTTCTTAATAAGGAGGATGAGATTTGACCACAGAGACCATACACAGTGACTTCCTAATATTCTCAACGCCGCTTCCAGCTGGGAAGTAAACCAAAGGTAAAATATAGTAAATAATATTTGACCACGCTCTGATTCAGAGTGTTGCAGGTTTGAGTGATACAGAACACAGTAACAGTTGAAGGACTATCAACTTTAATGAAGGCAGAAAAGACAAGAGTCAACCATTGAGATAACTCCCATAAATATTTAGCCACTCACAAGGAGCCACAATCATTTAATTAAGTCAATAATATGCAAGAAGAAAACAATGATAAGTTTAGTTGCAGCTTAGTGACTCAAACGATGATACTGTGAATGGGCCGCTGTGATCAATAACAGCGTCAGAACAAAGTGCACAAAGTGTCTATGTTCCTCAGAAGAATAACATTCAGGTGGAGATTAATGTAACAGGAGGACAGCAATCAACCAATTAACCAACCAAACGTTGCACTCAGTCCTTGCTCGTATTTGGAACTGACACAATATAACAGAGCTATTGCCTCTCAGATAATGAGGGCACACCCACATAAACGTTGCTCTCAGCCTGTCGTACTGCAGCTCCTGCAGGTTAAGCTACTCAAGGACTGCTGGGAAAAACCCTGATAAGAGGACAGCTCCCCGCAGCACATAGCGCCCTGTTCACCTTATACTGGCCGCTACATGGATCTTAGTTAAACAGGCCCTGGTCAGATGGTCAGCTGTCTGCAGATCAGAAGCCCACCTTGCTGCTTTCCCGGCCCAGGATGGCGTAGCTCATGAACTGCTCAGCATCAACCTCCAGCTCGTTGGCATCCTGCAGAGAACCCTCCAGGCTTCCCTCTTGAACACCTTCCTCACCTGAACCCTTCCCTCTGCGCACAACCTTACGCACAATCTATCACGTACACACATTTAAAAAGGAGAGAGAGAGTATGGATGGAGGCAGAGGGAATAAGGCAATGAAAAGACAGTTGTGAAATATATAAAAACTAACATAAAAATATGTATATTTTGGGGACATTTAGTGTATCCATAGCAATGTCATATGTGAATAACCTTACAATGTTTTTAGTGTAACAATAATTTCTATTGAGAGACGCTGAACTATAACTATAAAACTGTCTTAAGTGAAAACAATCTGCAGACCCCATTTTACGGATACAGTGTACAAACATCTTGTGGTGGCTGACCTTTTTTGTGACGATGTTACCATGTTCATCGGTAAACTGTTCTTCGCTCACATGCTCTCCAGGAAGATCTTCCACCTCATCGCCCTGCGGACAGAAAAAAAGATATTTTAGTCCAAAAGTTAGATAAACTCAAGAGTAAATGACGCGCCTAATGCAGGTTAAAAAGCTGCCACTGCAGTGACATTACTGCAACTGAAGCAGACCAACAACAGGTATGTGAAGGCGTGAATCCAGCAGTTGTGATTCTCAGTTGATCATGGTCGTGAGGGTCAATGCTGTTATGGCCTCTAATAATCCGCAGCGCGTCTACAGAGCTGTTCATGAGCTGAGAAGCGAGCGACAATGAAACGTACCAACACGTCCATAAGGCTTTTTAACCAAATCAAATGAGGGTAATGTGAATTATTTCTTATTGATTAAAATAATGTTTAGTCATTGCCACAAGTTAATCCTCACTGCCACAACCCTGTCAAATCATTTACCCATGTCAACACAACCCTATCGTGTATCACACACTGTTCCCATCACCCTGGAACCAAACGGAATTTTCTCCGTTGCTTCCCTGCCTGTGAATCCTGTCTGCTGGACCGTCCACAGCCCCCTTTCTCTGTACCTTGAGGATGACTCTGCGGCGGACCACTCTGGTGGTGACGTTCTCCTCTTCATCGGCCACTCCCTCGACCTCGCCAAGCTCGCGATCGAGCTGGGCGTGTATGTAGGTGAGCACGGAGCGCACGGAGCCGCTGGCTATGTGGAGGACATTCTGGCAGCTGATGACCAGGAAAGCCAGCAGCACGAAGCTGAAGAGGAGTTCGGTGACCAGGGCCCACATCGGCCCAGCAAATCAACACAGCACCACGCGACGATACACTCCCTCCGCCTTCAGGGGCTCCTGTTTCCAATGCAGCGCCAGTCTCGGGCTGACCGAAAAAAGGCAACAGCTGCAGCCTGCTGCTTTCTGTCACTGGTTCAGCTGGTTTCTTTGTCTTTCAGTTCATGTCTGTCTTCCTTCAGCTGGAGCAGTTGAGCCCTTTCCTGTGTCTTTATTCGTTCTCTTTCCCACGTCAGAAGAACCCACTCAATGACATGAATTCCAAGCAAGAGCAACCTTGGGAGGCTTCTATTCCCACCTCCCTCTCTCTCTCCTTCTGACCATGTGATCTCTGGGCTTTAAATACCGATGGCTTCTCCAGTGGAGGTCTGTGGGCTGTGGTAAGACCACTAAGAAACCTGTACCCTTGACTTCACATCCACACGGCCCAGTGGAAAGACTAAAGCAAAAGTGAAGACACAAATATGCAGCACTGCATCACACTCCAAATATCAAAAGCTTCTGTGTGACTGAGCCAAACTACAGGGCTCCTTTCTCACCAGCGTGAACCACAGACCAGATCCAGCTCACAGAGGCCCTAAAAGCAACTTCCTGTTTCTGCCTACCTTATACTTTCATGGCTGAGATTGCCCTTTACAGTGTAATGTAGTGGTGTTGTGCCAGAAAGTCAACACGTAGAAATCATTGGGGTGGGGGCAGGAGAGAGGGGCAAGTAACATGAGCGGGACTGTGTGAATGCTTGCTATATCTGGCCGGACTGTTTATGCCCATCTTGGGTCCTATTGCGTGACAGTGTGTGTGTGTGTGTGTGTGTGTGTGTGTGTGAGAGAAAATGTTGGATCAATGTTTCAAGGACGTATCGTGGATGATATAAAGCTGATTTTTTAAAATGTTGAAAGAAATTAGTTGGGCAGTTGAAGCCTTTGCAACATCTGAACTTATATACAAAGTGTAATATCTGTACAACTGATTTGTTGTCATAAAGGACAAACGTCCCTCTTATTTTGCGAGGGAGGAGTGGCACACTCACCTGGCCCCAAGCTGTCGGCTCTGGTACTCTGTGCGGGAAGCCCAAACCCTTCTCAAAAGGCTGGGTACCTCTGAAGTGGCCTCGTAACATCTCTGAGTGCCCCGTATCCCTCACAGGCTGAAGAAGGGCCTCCTGGGACGCTCGGGACAGGTCTCCATCCACGGCGTTACATACGGATGATATCATGGTGTCCATGGCCTGCCTGGGTTTAGGCTGACTGCCCACCCAGGCCTGTGTAGGGTCAGTGACAGGGATCCACCCCGGGCCTGTCTGCTCCTGCAGGTAGGAAAGGAAAGAGCCGCCGCCCCCTCCGTTTCCACCATTACCTGACCTGTGAGGAGAGGACACGTCAATGCTGAGGTCAATGTCCTCCACATGCTCACTCCAAGAAAAGCAACTCATCATTTGTATGAAATACCAAAGAAAAAAAACACTCCAGTTCACAAGTGACATCACCCGAGAAGAAAGGGTTTGACTTACCTGTCGCCATTCCGGTCTGCTACACAGCTCAGACCAGGTGACTCACTCAGTCGAGCATACACCCTTTGCTGTCCTGCAACAAGAGAAAGCCCTTCCTCTGAGCCCGTCCCTCCTCCTTCTCCTCCTCCTCCTCCAGCTCCATCTCCACCAGCCGTACTGGTGACTGCTGATACCTCCGAACTTGCACGTGACCCCTGACAATTGTTCAGCCTGTTAAGATTGATCCCAGCGATGGTGCCCCCGAGCGAGGCTGGCGTCGCAGTGCTGAGTGAGTCAACGCCCATCTCTGAATCGTCTTCGGGAAGCTCAATGGAACCACACAGCACCCCACCCCCTCCGCTGGCTGCGCTGGCCTGACTAGCCGGCCGACCCAGACTTCCATACGGCAGCCCCAGGAGACCTTCTGAATCGTCAGCATTGCTGCACTCAAGCGAGGAGTCCTCCACGGGCACCAGGGACGGGCTGTTGCCTGAGGGCCACACCTGAACATCAGACATCTCCATGAGGGTGTCTTCTTCTGTGGTGGCAATGGGAGCACAGTCCAGACTGGAGACTTCCTGCCAGTAAGGCTCAGCGCCCAGCGGGGAGGGCAGGCTGTACTGCATGGAGGCCGGTGAGAGAAGCTCTTCCTGCGCGAGCCCATAACCTGGAGCGAGACAGAGAGAGGCACACTGACACCCGGGCCCCCTCGCCTCGCTCCCCACCTCACCCCCACAGCACCGGGACCTTGGGAGGGGGTAAGTGCCCCTGCCCAGGAGCTGGGCATCTAGGGGGGAGAGTAGAGGAGGCTGAAGGGACAAATGGGGAAGGAGAGAGGGGAGGACCAAGACAAATAGGAGCTAGAATAAAAGGGGGCGAGGAGCTTAAGAAGAGGGTTTGTCAAGCTTGATCAGCCAGCGCTGACTGTGAGAGCAGCGGCGGCAGCAGCAGCAGACACAGCCGGACGGACTGAGTGACGAGTGACACTTTGGTTTGGAGCCAGAAGTGACTGATGCTGCTCTGCCGGCTGCCACCTGCAGGGAGACGGACAGGAATTACTGCCTCTGCCCTCAACCTGGGGCCGGGACACACACCTGTCCGGCAGGGACGCACACACCGTCACACGTACACATGCCATAAACACACTTGCTCACACTCCGCCTCATCGCCATCACTCGCAAACACTCACACTCAGGTATGCATGCATTCAAACCCACTCAAAGAACAGGCAGGTTAATATTGTTTTCAGGCTGGATAGCATGCACGCAGGCAAACTCAAGCTCTCACACACTCACACACACCAGCTCAACGCACACAGACGCTTTCTCAGTGACTTAAATATTTATCATGACGCAGTCAATATGTGACAGCTATATATAAAAATATAGTACTGCTGATATTTATGCAAGCACATATACAGTATTCTTGGTTTTTCCTTTTGCTGCTGTCTCAAACGTAGACTTTAATGAATATCTTAAGTCCAATTATATAAATTAGTGAAACTGCACATTGTTAATGTGCTGTGGACTCAGGTCACTCCTCCAACTGTTTGAAAAACCTTTGTAACTACATCTCTTTTGTAAAGGCAGACGTGGCATGATTGAGCACAATGTCACGGCAGCAGAAATATCTCTTTAATTGATATAATTACTTTATAATGCACAAAAAGAAAGAGAATGCCCCTTTTACTGTACATAGAATGTGCCTTCTATCCATCTTGATCATACGGAATGAATTACTCTGTTAATGAACAACTACCATGGAAAGATAGAATGGTTTAAGTAAAACCTTCAATGAATGGCAATGCAGGTGAAACAAAGTGTGAGTGGCTCTACGATTGACACTCTAAAGGGTGTTATCAAGAAGTACATTACCCAGAGGATGAAATACGATATGTGATGCAGCGCATACAGTATGGATATGAGAGCAAGAATAGGAGGCGGTTCACCTTCTGCATGAGTGAGAGAGAGACCGTGTGTGTGTGTGTGTGTGTGTGTGTGTACTGTATAGTGATGAGGAAGCGTTGCAGAGCTGCAGGATGTAACTTGATTCATGGTTGGCAGTGCTGCTGTTGAGTACTGCTGAGAGTGCAGGATATATTTGTGACACCAAGCGGCCAGAAGGACCTCTTGTCCTACTTTCTCCTTTCTCTCTCAGCGACTGTCAGTTGTCTTTAGAAAATCGCAAATATATATATTTATATACATTTGTCTTTTTGTAACATGCTTTGTCTTTTCAAGTTTAAAAGAGTCTGAAAAGATATTCTGACAGTTGTTGATGAAATATTTGATTGTCCTACCTTTAACAATGATGATGAGGTAAGAGTTTAACATTCGTTTCAAATCCTCGTTCCTTGTTGATTTAGGCCACAACATACATTTTGGGGCTGCAATTTACAAATGTACGGTTGTCCCTTGGCTTAAGTTTAAAGGCTGAAACAAATTCTATGAGTACTATAAGCTGCAGCAAAAACATGTATAACCTTAATAATAGTATGTCAATCTAATAATAATTAGCAAGGCATTTAACTAAGAAGGGATTTATTCAAACACACCTATTTTCTATGTAACAATTTGAGGTAAATACTTGCACCACATTCTTCAATTAAATGAGGTGCAGAATCAGGTGTATTGGAAAAGTCTGTGAGTTTATGACACTATATCAAGACCTGAAGTCAGTCTCACTGTTTTACGGGTCTGTTTGTTTGTGACACCAAACAAACTTCACCATGTAAGTGTTTAGATGGTCATCAATGGGATAATGAAGGTGTTTGTCAGCCCTCTCTCTTCATGTTAGAAGATAAAGGAATGATCGTGAAAGAAAGGTGCAAAATAAAAAAGAAATGTGGAAGTGTGAAATATTAAAAGTTATTGCCTGACCCCACTGACCGGAAAAGACACGAATACAGAAAAACAAATCAGCAAAGCTCACGTAAAAACACATCGAAAGGAAATATAATCATTTTGTCCATACTCTCAGACATTGATACACGGTCAAATGTATATGGAGAATAAAAAACACTTACATGTACCCACAATATATGACTTAAAACACTCACGGACACCCTCACACAACATTAAACAATGAGGACAATTACATCTAGTGGAGGAACAATATCAAATTTACCCCCATACGACACTCACAAAGACATGAGAACATATAGTTATATTAAATATATATATATATATATATCATATGGACAAAATCGACATAGAATCAGTGACATACAAAACAACCACAACATTCATACATGAACAGAACAGACGCAAGTCACAGTCATGGGCCTTTTTTTACCCCTTTGGGACGGATCGCAGAGGACGAATAGACAGACCGTCGGTCCATTCTCGGTATGCATGCCATGCAAGAACTCGTCTGTCAAGCAGCGTCACGGGCCAGGGCGGTGTTTGATACATCGTCTCTAGCTAGCCATGTGCTACACTCCTGCCCCTCATCCCAGTGTCTCCATGCAAACACAAGGGGAGATGAGCGATGACCGTCGGCCCCATGCGCATGCAGACAGGCAGGGAGGCAGGGAGAGAAGGGATGGGTAAAGGAGAAAAGAAGAGCAGCGAGAGAGGTAGAGGAATATAAAATAGGATGATGGTCACAGACAGAAAGCAAGAGAGAGCGAGGGTCACCTCCCCCCTCCCAGTGGGTGCTGACTACACAGTCTGTTGTGAGGGGTATCGGTCACAGAGCGGACACTTAAAAAGGTGGGGTTATCAAGAGCACAAAAAAAAGGAAAATGCACGACTAGTCGCAAAAAAAAAAAAAAAATAGAAAAAAGATAAAGATGTGGATCAGAGGTCAACATGAAGTTGGCATGAGGTCAGAGTTCGGAGAGGAGTGAGAAGGAGGAAGAGTAGGACGGCTAGGCTGCAGATGACATGTCCAGAGAAACACAGAGAGAGGGACAGATTCACAGGAAATGAAAACAGGGCTCCCAAAAAGGACATCCAACATCAGCCCTAAAGAGATTCAAACTTCTCCCCATGCAGCCACAGGCAGAGAGAATTTAAATTTCCTCTTACAAATGTCTAAAACATGAGGTTTCATCTATCATAAGCTACTGTATATCTTCCCTAACCTGGAAATGATGTGCCTACACCTAAAATAGAGGGGCACTAGAACTGTGAATGTGTAAAATCAAACGGACATTGTTCTGACAAAAAGAGGAAGAAGGAAGGAAGAAAGGTAGAGAGAGGGAGAGATGAAATAAAGACGGCAGTGAAGCTCATTGCGCTCCTCTGCAGTGAATACAGGATAATAGACTATTTCAATAATAATCATGATTTGTTTATAAAGGACTGAACCTGACTCAATGGAGCAGATCAATATTGTGGAATAATTGATCATTTTCTTTTGTTGCAGAGACTACAGTAAATATGAATCTAGCGCTAGAATCCTCTTAGCTTAACTCTGCAAAGAGTCTGAAAACATCTGGCCTGACTCTCTCCCAAGTTAAGACATCCACATACCGGCCCCCAGTAGTAGTACACAAATGAACACAATTACTACTTGCCATGGAACTATCTGAAACCACGATAGAAACAGCGAGCTGTTTTCAGTCATAATGCTAAGATGATTTACCGTACAGACAGTGGTATTGATTGTCTTTAGCAAGAGAAAGAAAATTATAAAATAAAGTCAAATTATTGGTTTAATATTGACAAATAAATGAATATGTGAAAAAAATAATTCACAAATAAATCTAATGCATAATGAAGTTGAGAACTCATATTTATGTACCATGTGTATTTTGTCCTTCACTGTCTACCACATTATCTCTTTTCAAGATGAGGCTTGATGGTTATTTTATTTTTTATTTAATTAGTTTTAATTAATCAGTTCCGGTTGACCAACTTGGTCACATAAAATATAAACCTTTGGAAACCCATCACTGTGATCATTGCGGGATTAGCAGAAGACACAATATCCGGGTATTCAAAGTGCCGCCAGATTTTTTTGCAGAACGTCAAAGCGGGCTTTGGGAGGCAGGTAGCCAGACAGATAGACAACACATATACATGTTTATCAGATTCACTGCAGCTGTGATCTGAACATCTCCCTTTTCACTCTTTGACCCTCATGGTCGTACCTCGATGCATTGTTACATCTCTGAGTATTGCTCCAGTTTTCACGGAATAGGACCTATCACCTGCGGGACCGACTCATCGTCTGCACCGGGTACAGAGAGGAGGAGTGATTGCAGTAAAATGGGGAGCTCACCAGTCCAGATGTGAAAATGGAGTCAATAAGATGTACGGTATGCATGTGTGAGGGGAACCATGAGGAAAAGGAGTAAAAGACTGAGGACTGACAATTAGTGAGGAAGTCGGATAAGCTAGGTTACACTTATAGTATCATCTACGTGGACTAATCATGTATGACCACATGTTGTTTTATGGACAAAACCTTATAACGATCGTAATTACGGGAAATAAATGACTGATCTAATGATTTGACAAGATAACAAAAAAGAACCACAATGCCGACAGTAATAAAAATATTACTATAAATGATGTTTTACTAATATAGAGTGTTTTGCTCAAAGGCGATTCCTTAATGCGATGCTTGAACACCCTAATGAGTCTTCATTTAAATTATGCTTTTTATGTATGCTTCACTTTACTTCCCACCACATTGAAGGAATAAATGGAAAAATGTTTAAATAACCAAAAGCACAACAGAGGTTGTAGCACAGTAGGAGTGTCCTGAGTCCCTCTGCATGTTGCCTGGGCAAAGTCCTGCAAAAGTGTGACGTTTGTGGCCGCTTCCATACACAACAGCATCACCCAGAATAAACAATAAAGATATGAGAAGAACAGAGATACTTCGGAGGGAAACACTCGTCCTTTGCCTTCAGCGGATATTAGAGGGTACGGGGGGGGTTGTTTATTGGAAAGATGTCTCAGGGTCAAATGCTTATGGGGACGGGGCTGCAATGTGAGATTTGGGGAGGTTAACTCACCATTGGTCATACCAGGGGAGACGTTGTCTCTATTGTTCCGGCGTCTGGTGAAATCGCGGGAGCCTTGCCTGGCCGGCTGAGGCGGCTGGCCCTCCAACATGGTGACTATGTCCATACGGTCAATGCTTTTCAGAGCCGCGTACAAGCTCTCCACTGCAGGGAAGACGTGTGAAGGAGAGACACAAGCAGGCGAGGAGAGAGAGAGAAGGAGGGGACGGGATGGGGGAGGGGGGTCCCACGACAAACGGCAAAGGAATTACAACAATAATCTGAATCAATTGGGTTAAAAAGACGTGAATAAAGGTATAAGTGGATGACAGGAATTCACAACAACCTCAGGTGTGGCATACTCACTCTTGGCCCTCTTGCCCTCGCGGGCGGCCCAGAGGTTGAGCAGCGCAGAGCTCTGCTCCAGCAGCGAGTTAGGATTCTCCACACGTATCTTATTGATGTCATCCACGCTGAGCTGAAGCTCGCGCGCCAACTCTGTGAAGGAAATGAGAACGCAACGATCCCGGAAGTGAAGGAGATATTCGCACCATTTCACCTGTTTGGTGCTATTATAGTTTAGGAAGTCTTGAAATGACACTTTGTCCAAAAGAGAGAGAACAAACGACTACGGCTCTTGGCGGGAAACAGGAAATAATTATACTCATTGGCTGTTTGCCGTGTTGGACCGTGATCAGCAAAGAACTAGGCAAGCAATTCAGACACAAGGTAAACATGGATGGTTTACAGCAAATAAAAGCAGACTCAATATATTCCTGTGCACTCACCAGCCCAGCTCAGTCCCAATTGCTCTGCAATCACAGCCATCTTCACCTCCGTCCTCTCCATGGCACTCATTGACGCTGCAAAAACCAGACTGATATCTAACATCATCCAATGATTGTGCCTTTATTGCGACACGTATGCTGTGTGTGGAATACAATGTTCTCACACTGACTATTACATCACCACAAGAAAATAAGCACAGACAATAATTTACAAGTGGAGGTGTAAGAGCCTCGTACCCATGGCAGGTTCATTAAGGGCACTGTATCTTTCTCTTAAAGCCAGCGGGGTCAGAGTTCGCCTCCGGTCTTCACTTCCAGCAATCTGCCAGTCAAAAGCAGACAACGTTTTAGTCTGACATGTCAGGAAAAATGGCTGTAATTACTTATGATCAACGTCCCTTGTGGCTTCAAGGGGCTTTACCTTGATACATGGAGGCATGGTGATGTTGAGGTTACAGAGCACATGTTGGTTGTCCTCATATTTCGTAGACTTGCGCAGGAAAGACAGAAATCCAGTGTGTTCTTTACTGCTGTCTCTCACCTTAGACACACAGACACAAGGACAGCTGTGAAACCCCCGTTCACGCACGCAACTTAGAGACGGAGAAAGACGAATGGCGATACCTTAACAGACACAGGGAGTCGATTATCTCTGAAGGCCTGAAAGCTGAAGCATCGAGGCTGCTGGGTGGCTTTCCTCACGGGCAGCAGATTCCCTGAACACTCCAGGTGAAGCGGCATTCCCTCCATCACCTTCAAGACAACCACACCGGCATTGGCACACGGTCCGCTCGCAATGCACCACGTCAGTAGAATGCACTCGTCTCTAGACTGACCTCTATATCTCTGCTGCGAGCCACCTCCGTGAAGTTCTCGTGCTGTTCCAGGGTTTTATCCATCTTATCGTCGGTCATGCAGTAGCAGCGCAGGCGGCCCTCTCGCAGCTCGTTCATCTTTGCAAACACCACAAACTTGGCCATGTAGGGCACCGCGGACAGCTCTCTGTAGAGCAGGTTGGCAAAGGAGACGGCCTCCGCTGTACGAGGACAGTCTGCCAACCAGAATCTGACAGGAAACAATGACGCGTCATCACAGAACCGAACATACAGTGAGTCAGCTTAGTTGCTGTCGGATGTCAGAGGGAAAAGAATTACAGGATTAAACCCTTGGGTATAATGGCGGAAATGTGTATGTTGCCACCTGAACTTACCGTGCCGAAACATTGGTGGTGAAACTAGCACTGTCTTTAGCATACACAAGCTTGGTGGTGCCAGTAATGTCTTCCCATTGAGCCGGCGCTGTGCCGCCTGGAAACGATACAGAGGGAGAAACGGGCAAACTGGTTAATCTGCCTTTAGAAAAGGTCCGTCTCACAGTGTTTGTACAATACCAGAACAAATACCTTCAACATCCAACCAAGGCACTGACAACCCGCCTCCTCGCCATGGAGGATACAAACACACACACACACACACACACACACACACACACACACACACACACACACACACACATACTCACCACCCACACAACGGCATGCAGTACCTATGACGGAGCAGAGCAGACGCAGACTGGTGGTGTCGCCCTCCCCGGAGTCTCGGGGGCTGTCCCTCCAGGACGGGGGCAGGGGTATACACAAGCCGATGGGCCGGTGAAACTTGCGCCGCCGAGGCTCCACAGTTACCACGGGGCTAAAGTTCGCCTGGTTACCCAGCAGCTTGGCAACCAGCTCATCCGGAACCGGCTGAGCCTGAGGTTGAAAGTAAATGATGGAGAGGGAGGGCAACGCGGACGCAGGTTCGATGATGTGGTTTGACAAAAAGGTATCATTAGACAAAGAGAGGAACACAGGAACGGGACAAAAAAGGTTATGGGATGCAGGTAGAATGAGACGATGGAGGATTGGGTGATGGGGCATTGAGGATGAGGAAAAAAGGGTAAAATAAAGGACAACCGAAAAGGGGGGAAAGTGAAGAGAAAGGGAGAGAGAAGTTTACAGTGAATAAAATAGCTCCTGGTTTATATAAACACATTTGAAAAGATCATTGCAGCGCAAATTTGTCAGACTCAACTTTTTTTATTGTAAAATGTAACAATTGCATTAACATGAAGCTTTTACAATCATTATTACAAAATTAATGTCAAAGGAAAAGGCACTGGGGTTCTTCACAAGGCCGTTCATGATATTATTACTACAAGAACATTAGTCAGTTAAATTTGTTATTTTCATCTTAGACGTTACGGTATGTGTGGTAACATGTTAGTTCACAATACAGCTTATAATAAATTCATTCATCCGTTTTTGTAGGACAGCTGTTGAACCGAAACAAGCAGCGTAAAGGTCTGTCAATAAGGTCCATCTACCTTTCATTTGGTTTACTGAAACCAATTCTGACATTGGAATTATATTATATTATATCTCCAATTTTATAAACGTCAAATAAAGAAATTAATGCAATTGCCGTCTTGAACAACAATACATCTACACACTGAAAAACTGTTTGAAAACAATTTATGTTTTGTAAGTCAAAATTAAATCACATGCTAAAAGTCAGTGGCACCGAGGGAATAGTGCATACTTATAACAAACATGGAGGAAAAGATTTAATTTAATGTACCCTTTGTTTGGAAACCATTATAAAGACATCTGCAAACTGAGATTGGAAAAAATAAAATACTGCACTAAGGCCAAAATGTATCAAACTGATCGGATTGTTGTAATCTGTGAGTTGTAATCTGCAAATCAACCATGTAAAAATGTCCATTTCCCCATGTTCTGATTTTGATCCTTCAACTAACAGTACAATTAACAGGTTTCATTAATTCCTTGATTTGACACTCCATGGATTATGAAACTAGATGCTGATGCGGTGCTTGAGTCCGGTGAAATAAACTAAAAAGTTTATCTTGTCTTTGGTGTGAATGGTTGATAAAACATCAAAACTTGGAGTGTAGCCGTATCCGCTAGAGGGTTAAAAGCCTGAATAGACTAGAAGATAATCATTGAAAAAGGTTTCAAGATCAGGCGCTCAACTGTACCCCCTTTTTTATGCAAGACAAAACTTGTTTATCTAAAAAAAAAAAAAAGCATATTTCCAGAAGTCGATGATACCAAAACCACTGACAAATCTAACATCCTCGCTATATAAGATTGCAGAAGAGTTCCTATCAAGTATCGTTTGATTTATTGTTCTTAAAGAATATATCTGAAATGAGTTACATATAGTGAACACAGGACTTATATAATATAAATACATTAGTGAGAAAGACATCAAGGTAAAACAAACAATAACATATTAGCTCTAAATGAGTAGTTCACAGTCGTATAAAGTGCATGCACTACGTCAAATAAGAAGGTCCTCTAAAATTGTATAAAAGCAAATTAAAACAAACCAAAGAAAGAAAAGATATGATCGGGTCATTCCAAGATCAACCAAAGTACATTGAACATGCTTTCTTGTCAGGCAACACAGGCATTATTGATTCTGTCTTTCTTCTCCTTCCTTCTCCTTATCGTCCCATCTCACCTGCAGCCCCAGGCGGACTCGTTTGGTGACTGCCGTCTCGGGAAACGTGGCCTGGACCAACGGCACCAGTTTACTTAACAGCAAACCTCCTTCTGGCCCAATGAGGTCGCTTTCTTGCTGGACTCGTGACACAACAGCAAAGTAAAGAGGAAAGTCCGTGGAGATGATGCGACGGATCCGCTTCTTCCCGAGCTCCTCTTGACTTTCTAATTCTAAGGAGGCAGGAGAGGAATAAATTCTTAGTGATAACAGTCGGCGATGTTAACCATGGTTTCTGCCTCACCCAGCTACACAGCATTCATAATTGCGCCCCATAGATATGTATGAGGGTCAGCCAGAGACCAAGCGTATGAACTCTTACCCTCATCCATCCCGTTGAGGATTGTTTCCAGCACCTCGTCTCCGTAGCGATTGCGATGCTCTTTCCAGACTGAGCCATTCTCGCTCCTGAGCACCACGAGCTCCCGATCACCACGACCCAGAGCAGCAAAGTGGGGGATCTCCACAATCACGGGCCTGTCGCACATCACACATGGAATCACACGTGCACGAGCGACGCGCGGAAGACCGTGGCTGTTTCCAGTTTCAGGTCAGCCTCCTCACCCCAGGAACTGCATCCCGGCCGGCCCCAGGGAGATGATCCTGCTGGCCAGCCCCTCCCCCTCCACCAGCGGAGGGGGGCTGGTCAGCTTCTGCGGCTTCACCAGGCGGCAGGTGATGCGGGTGGGAGCCGCACAAGTCCGCGGGGGTATGATGACGCGCAGGCCGTTGTGCCTGCTGCCTCGCATTGAGCCGCCTCGAGCGTCTACCATGAAACTCACCAGGAACCTGTTATTGGCCAAAAGTCGTCTTTAGTGTTCATATCGGATATTAAACCCTGATTCAGCGAAATGAAATGTTTTGCTGACCCTGTGTGGATGGGACTGGCGACTGGGCTGACATTGTCTGACGTCTCAGTCGCCGGGCTGCTGGGGATCAATGAGTCATCATCATATTCTTTGGGCAGTGGAAGCGGAGTGTGCTGCAGCGACAGATCAAAAGACAAAATGTTCACGACATTTGCAGAGGCAACTCTTTTTAGCATAATGTTTCAATATTACAAACGCAGATGATATCGAGAGGGAGATGTGCTCATTTGACATTTTTCTATTTTTACATGATATGAAGAACATGAATCATTAACCTTCGAAAGACCTTTGAGGAGGGATTCTCATTTAGATTATCATGTGACAGCGCGGGTGAAACTACAATAACTGCATCATTCTAAAGCGCTGCCAGGTTCATGTCCATTATACAGAACCCTTCAAAGTGACAAACGTATTTCATTAAACATTAAGGTTCATTTATGACCTTGGAAAAAGCCCATTGACTAAAAACCTCAACCCTTAACTCAAAGTTAAGAGCACTTTCTCAGCTTTCAACTGCATCTCCCAGACTTTCTCAGCAGATGGATGCTGCTTAAACTTTTTGGGGAAGGTCTAATGAAAAACGTTAAAAAGTTGCATTCTAGCCAATGAAGGATCATTCGTCTTTCTGTGGTTTAGCCTATGATGGAGAAAGTCTTTTCTTTAATATTAAGTGCACACTATATTCAGAATGATATCTGACTTGGAACCTTTCTTTTTAGGTGTCTATAGTTTTGAATCAGTTCGCTTTGCTCTTTGTGACAATACTGATGTTGGTTTCTCCAAACTGGGGGCAAGCCGAGCGCTGTCCAGTGCACTTAGTACACGGACTGCGGAAAAAACTATCCACAATCCAACTTCATCACACCCGAACCGTCCCTTTAATTGCTGAAGTACACCGTTAGTACTCATGCTGCTCTGTAAAGTAACAGTACCTGATCCATGGCGTGTTCCTTCAGGATAACGGTCTCCGGAGAGACCCTGGGGATCCTGGGAATGGCTGGTGAGTAATTCCTGGTGCACGGAAGGAGAAAAGAACACAAGTCAGATCCAGGAGGTTCTTTACATCTCCTCCCAAGTGCTCATCCCTGGTGTCTAGTGGGTGTCTATGGTGCATCCCCTTCTGTCCATCGAACTGTTAGCTCGTGACTAGCAGCTTGGCTCTCTGCCGTTTCCCCGCCCGGACCCCCTTACGCTGTGCCCAGCCCTCTCTCGTACTCCAGAGATTTCTTGGGGGAGAGGAAATCGTCATCATGGTCTTTCAAGTCATCCATCTTCATGTACCTGGCCCCTTCTGTCCCCAAGAGCTCCTCTCCTTCAGAGGACGACATGGCAAAGAGAGCAAATAGACCGCGGTCAGGTTGGTGGGACAGAAAGAGAGAAAGAAGAGAACAAGATTGTCAGCCGGAGCCGGTAAGCAGGGTTAGACGTTAGGAGATGGCTTCTGTGAGGCGTTAAGACCAGCGAGGTGAGACGATAGAGACGATACTCTGTTCATTTATCTTCATACCGCTAATCACCGGCAAAAAGAGAAGCACAGCCATTTGACCTAACACCAGTAACACGTAAGGATCAGGTAGAGAGACGGGATCGATACAGCAGGTCACCTGGTCAACACTTTTCATGAGAACCACTAAAACCGTACAACATTGAAATAAGAGAGCACATCCTACAAATGTAGTTTACAAAAGAACCTCCAGTTTCAACAGCATTATAGATGTGCACAGTGCACTTTCTCTGTGGAGAGCATGCATCAGCATTCGATCCAAAACGCTTTTTTTAAGCTATGGAGGCAACTGGAGGATTTAGACATCAACTGCCTCAGAGAGCAATGCATGAGGAGTTCTGCTCTAGAATGCAAACACTGACAATCAGAGATTATCCCACTGCAACACGTACAATCAAAGTACAAGCTGTTCTACTTTAAACCTACGGTGCATCTGTATGTGAACAGAGGTGGGATACTTACCCCCTAAAACACACAGTCAAGAATTAACCAGAACGGAGTCTCTGTTCATTTGTGACCACAGCTTGTGTGATGGCCGCTCCACACTAGCTTTGATTTTCTGTGAGACATTTTTCATTTCTTACGGGTTATTATGAGGCTGAGTTTCTGTCCTATTCTATTTGTATGTGAGAGGAAATACTGCTGTGCACGTTTGCCACAACATGCAGGCAAAGTGTTACGGGTGAGAGGAATCATTTCACCTGCTCTGAAATGACACGCGTCTCTGCTGCTTTCTACTTCTAGAGCGTAGGTGACAATCTGTTAGTAGAATTATCAGGGGACTAAAAATAAAAATACATAATGTCGCCTGTAAACGTCAAGCATTTCGATTTAAACCTGCACTGCATGTTTTGTGGGGGGCGGAAACAAGCTATGAGATAAAATATCCCTCAAAGAATAAAGTTACAGTCCGCAAAACCAGAATTAATTAAAATCCTCCATAAGCTACCGTACAGCTGAAGCTTTATCGCATCGAGCGACTCCTTTCACATAGATATAGTTGCATGAACAAGTAACAACGTTCTGCTCCCGGCTAACAGATACAGGTGAAATGGCACGACAGATTTAAATACATACACAGCTGAGGACACACATTCTAAAGCGATGAGAGCGCTGCTCAATTTCTAACCGCTAATGTGCACGGAGAGTTTTGTTAAGATATTTTATTACAGATTAAATATCCTTCTTTGAAGATAACGGATCCGATAGCCATGGCTGTGATGTGTAGACCGTAACTTCCCACATGACATGGAGGTGGGAAAAAAACAACCTGGGCAGTTAGAGAATGAGAATGTTATTGAACGGACACATTCAGGTTACGGACATGGATGCTGTGTGTGCATGCCGATGAGAAACCAGAGCCACCATCACAGTGAGCGCCACTACAGAGGGAACGAGAGAGAGAGAGAGTGAGAGAGAGAGAGAGAGAGGTAAAGACGTAAAGACTGAGAGAGCGAGCTTGAAATGGAGCCACGCACTTTATAACATCGACCTATGAATGCCGCAAGAAGAAAGAAAGAGACATTCATACCTAATGTTAGCTGTGCAATTCCTAAAAAAGGGCAAAAGGAATTAGGAAAAATGAATACTTATGTAAACATCATAAAATCAGCCGCATAGACAGGAAGTAATGTTTAGATAACATCAACGTAGACGAGTAAACATTGTTTCCGACTGTTTTATGTGGTTAATAATAAATACCTTCCCTACCTTCATCCTCAGACACGTCCAGTATTTCATCCACTGTTTCCGGGAAACTCATGCGATGTTTTTCAGTGGTCGTCTGCACAGAAGATTAGAACATTAAAGATACAACAGTGAGTTTAAACCTCTGTTTCCATACGATTAGCATGCCTACTTATAACCAGCGTAGCTTTTATAAACATCTCACCATGGAAACCGTCTCTTCAGTGACGAGCTTGAGGACGTCAATCACAGAGATGTAGCCCAACCTCTTAGCGATGGAAAGAGCTGAAGAACCATTCTAACAGACAGAGAGGAGCAGTTTAAACAGATCTCAAAACAAAATAAAATTCAATCCATCATTTTGAAGTAGACGAGGCTTCGTGCTCACTGTTGTGGTCTCGTTGGGCTGGGCTCCATGCTTCAGCAACAGTGTCACAATGTCCGTGTGTCCCTGCTGGGCCGCCTGGTGCAGAGGAGTGTAACTGAGCTGGAAGACAAATAAGAGAAAATCGTCTTTCATCTAAATCATCACAACAAGCCAACTGCATGTAATGAAAACTGTCAGGACAGGGGGAAATTGTCACCTGAAACAATTACTATTTAAAGAATTCATACAATAGGTCCATTGTTTAAGTTAATAAAAGCGAGAAATGCACTGGTTGCGGATTCTTAAATGCCTAAAGACTTAAAACTAAATTAAGAAATCAGCTAATTAATGAAAACAATTCTGAATTGCTGCATATATCATGATATGAAATATCAAAATAATGCATCTCACATTACACTTAAGTCGGGTTAAACACCTTGCGTAATTTAATTGTTCTATTTTAAATGCTGTCTAATTGTCTTTCCTGGTGAGTGAACTAGAGACAGTAGACACACTATAACTGTGGGACTCATGAACTGACTAATTGTAGTTTTATCTAAAACCAGAGGGAGGCACTCACCCTTGTCTTACTGTTGACATCGGCCTGCTGCTGCAGAAGGAACTTCACTATCTTGATGTTGCCATAGTGACATGCTACGTGGAGCGGTGTGTAACCCATCTGACAGGGAGAGAGATAAAAGAAAAAAGTTTTAAGCAAAGACCCAGACGCATAACTTGAACGTCTTAATGAACTTTTAAGTTTAATACATTACGTTCATTTTATTCTATTAAGTGTTCAGTGGTTCACAAATTAGGAATTAGGTCTTGTGCAAGTGATAGTAACAATAATTTCAAAAAGAAAACCTGGATGTGATTATGAATTTAAGAGTCCCTGAACCACTGAACCAAGTACTGTAAGATTTTATGGTACTTAAAATGTACCTTACTTGAGTGATTCCATTTTTGGAAACGCAATACATTTTTGTCGGAAATACTGCACTAGTTAAGTCTGCACATTCACAATAATAATACTAAATATAATCAAATACTTTGGTAAAAAGCAACAATTTGCCGCGGGACTGAAAAGGTCTTACTCGCGTGGCAGCGTAGACTGAAGCTCCTTGCTTCACCAAGATATCGGCGATGCCAACATGTCCTTCCTGTCCTACCAGATGGAGCGGGGTTAATCCACTCTGGGGGGGCAAACAGATTCAATAGGAAACAGTCAGATACGGAACAAATCGAAACACTTACACATTAGTTTAAGATATGAACCAGGTGAACATCCTTTCACATCCACGCGGTTCTTACCTTGTTTCCAAGGTTGACGTTGGCCTGTTTGGAGATGAGCAGGGAGACCATGTCGGGGCGTCCTTCCTGCGAGGCCAGGTGGAGAGGTGTGACTCCCTGCAGTGACTCAGCATTGGCTGAAGCTCCGTACTGCAGCAGGCTGTTAGCCACCTCCACCTGGTTCTGCTTTGACGCTATGTGGAGGGCGGTGTAGCCATTCTGGAGCACAGAATCGAGATGGGGTTAGAAAAATGTGTTGAATTAACACATGAAACAAAAGAAATGAATTATGAATTATGTGTAGGCCTGTGTGTCTCCCTTTTTTATTACCCGCGCTGCACTATGCGGAGAGCCGCCCTTGCTGACAAGCAAGTTGACAACATCCAGGTTGTTGTGATGTACGGCAACATGCAGTGGAGTCAGACCATTCTGCAAAAACAAAAATCAAAAGTTCCTCAGACTCTGGAAGATCAAACAATAATTTATTCATCTTTCTTCCAAGGATACAGCCAACCCCTTTATGTGTATCTCACCTTCCCAGCAGCATTCGGATTGGCCCCTCTCTCCAACAGAAGCTCTGCTACATCCACCTTGCCGTACTTGGAGGCTACATGGAGCGGAGTGAACCCTTTCTACAGTGGCACCAATGAAGAAGAAGACACGATATAAGGTTGGGGAACACAGTTATTGGAGCGGTTTTGAGGCAGCCAAACTCTTTGCAAGGACGGCTAAGCAGGCAGGTGTCACCTTCGTCATCTTGGTCTGCTGGGCCTCCATGTCCAGGAGGATGCGTACGGTTTGTGCGTGACCTTCCCGAGCAGCGATGTGTAGGGGCGTGTGGCCTGCTGTCGTGGTGGAGTTGGGGTTTGCTTTGTGCTCCAGCAGCAGCTTCACGAGCTCCTTGTGGCCCATCCGAGCAGCACAATGAAGAGGTGTTTGGTCATCCTGGCCAACAAGAGGTAGGACATTATGAAATATGAAGTACTTTAATGGATCCTGAGCACTTAAAATGTTTCCTCTAGCGTCTTAATCGCCCGTTTTATACATTTCGCAGCATCTCTACTTTGATCTCAACGCGTAACATTAAAAATGGGAAAATGGGGCTGTGGTGGCTAAGATGAAAATGATAATATGAAATCTCTGCTGGGAATTAGTTGCTAAACCAACTTTCTAAATTAATGCTGAAACGTTTCCATAAGTATTTAATCATATAAGGAATATTAACGCATAATAAGACGATATGTTTGTGCTGTGGTATGTGAAATCTCTACCTTAGCCTTAGCGTCCACAGGTGCTGCGTTCTTCAGTAAAAACTCTGCCACCTCATGGTGTCCTGCCCGAGACGCCATATGAAGAGGGGTCTCCACTTTCTACTCATGCAGAGAAGGACAAATCGCCCACTCAGATTCTTCACTATCAGAACAACAACTTCTTCAATGCAGAGGTGAGTCGGTTATCTGCACTGCTCTTCACATTTTAGAAGGGAACTCACCACATTGGAGGCGCTGGGTGAAGCCCCTTTCTGCAGCAGCATCTTCACAATGTTGAGATGACCCATAAATGATGCCACATGCAAAGGGGTCAGGCCAGACTGTTTAGAAGAGGAAAATAATATTAATAAATGGTCTTGCATGCAAAATATATTTTTATTTTTACGCAGAAATCTTGATAGCAGTTCAAACTATTAATAGATTTATCCTGGATAGTTAAAGGATGAGTAAGAAATAAACAGTATTGCTAGCTGTTATCTTCAACTCTTCTTTCTAATTATCTCACCTCAGTCACAGCCTCTATTGATGCAGAGTGTTTAAGCAGGAGATCCATCACCCGCATGTGGTTCTTTTTACAAGCAATGTGCAAAGGAGTAAAGCCATTCTGCAAAAAAAGAAAGGAAACAAATAATGATTATCATCACTAGGGTGATTAAAAGTAACCTTCCCTCCTCTAAATTGATAAACTGACTACATGCTTGTCACTGACCAATGCCCGGGAGTTGGGTTTGGCCCCTTTGTCCAGCAGTACTTTGGCCATGCGTTGGTGGCCACAGTGTGCGGCCACATGCAAAGGGGTGAGGTGGTCCAGTGTGATATCGTCTATCTCTGCATTGTACTGCAGAAGTTGCTTGACACAGTCCATGTGGTCCCCCTGTGCTGACATGTGGATTGGAGACAGGCCATTCTGCAAAACACATAAACAAAAAAAACATGATGATTGTCTAAACTCCTGAAGGAAAAACAAGCAATCCGTGCAAGAAGCAGCAGCCAGAGGGATCTATGGCTGTGTTTGGCTGATCGATCACAACACTTTTACTTTCATTACCCCCTTCTCAATTTAGAGTACACAAGAGTACAAAACAACTCAGGGATTTGTATTTATTACCAAACCAGATACGGTTCAGTTGTGAAATCAGTGAATCATTTACTTCTATCAATGTGGATTACCTTGGTCTTTGCCTGGATGGGGGCTCCATGGTCCAGTAGGATCTCTATAATCCTGACATGACCGTTTCTGGCTGCACAGTGCAGAGGAGTCAGCTCATCCTGGAGAGAGATGATTGTTAATGATTTAGTTAATGGTGCATCAAATTAGAATCAGGAAAAAGAATAAAAGAATATTTGAAATCATAAGATGGAAGTCTGCTGCACCTTGGTCTTGGCATCAATCTGAGCCCCTCGGTCCAGCAGGAGCCGGACCATGATCACGTTCCCCCGTCTGGCTGCAATGTGCAGAGGAGTGATTCCGTTCTGCAGAGACAAACAGCTGCACTTAGACGGGCCCACACAGGGACAACAGACAGCAAGGACAGAGATTAACCTTCCAACATCAATTATTCCCTACCTTTGGGGTGAAGTTGACATTGGCTCCTCTATTGAGCAGCAGTTGAGCCACATTTAAGTTTTCATAGTGTGCAGCAATGTGGAGGGGGGTGAATCCTGTCTGTAGGGACACATAGGGCTAAGTGCGTTACTCTCATTTCCTGTGAATTTTAGAAAACCTTTTGTATATGTACTGTACATGTGTTTAACCATATCTGCAGCCATGCACACCCAATCACACACACACACACACACACGCACACACACACGCACGTATACCTTGCTGAGTACGTCAGGATTGGGGTCATTCTGCAGAAGCACTGCGGCTGTGCGTGTGTCGTCGTTGCGCGCTGCAATGTGCAGAGCGGGGAGGCGGACCTTTCCCTTGGTGCCGTAGTTGATGAGCAGTGCTACAACATTCTCGTGTCCCTGTTGAAGAGCCACGGCGAGAGGAGTGAATCCATCCTGCAGCACACAGGCACACAGGAAAGGAGTTAGAAGACTGGTTGACTCATGGAGACAAAATGAGGCAGGTTAAAGAGAGCGGCTTATGGAAACGGCGCCGTCTGGATCAGCACGGATGGGACTGAGTAATCTGGGAGATTACTTTTTGAAAATGTCTCTCACTTCCAGAGTCTTTAGTACCTCAGTTGGAATGCTCTGATTGGCTCCGTTCTCCAGAAGAAACTTCACAACCTCTAGATGGTTTTCTTGTGCGGCCATGTAGAGTGGAGTGAAACCTTTCTGTTTCCGAAAGACGATAGACACACACACACACAGACACACACAGACACACACACACGCAGCAGCACAGGAGCCACAAACACAGCCAAAGAAAGACAGGAAGACGGTAACAGTCAGATGCATGCGCAAGCATGTACAGGGAGAAGAAACACCAAAATACAGATATATATATGGACAAAGACACTTATTAACACGTATGGAATTGCTGGAATAGTAAAGACGTACAGGTACTGAGGCGTAGCCTCGACGCAGTGAGAGCAGCACGAGTCTCACCTGGGACTGAGCGTTGACATTGGCCCCGTAGTTGACCAGCTCTGTGACCACCTGCTCCTGCCCTGCCAGGGCTGCAATGTGCAGGGCCGTGTTCCCTTTCTGTTTAAACACAGATACACCACAACGAGAGGACACAGTCATAATGTGTCCCCCCAACAAAGCATTCATAGGGCAAATCAAACCCGTATTCAAAGCGCAGGTGAAAAGTTTCATGTTGAATTCTGACGATCTAGATGGAACTACATGGGATTCACCCGTTAAACAAATACCACAGGAGGAGACACTTTCAGAGGGGATTTTTACCTTTGTGGTGGTCTCCAGGACGATACCATTGTGGAGTAGCTCCAACACCATTTTAACGTGGCCTTCTTTGGAGGCCAGATGCAACCCATTGAGCCCGTTCTACGTGAGAGAGCAGAGCAGACCTCACACTGAAGACTCCCAAACTAACTACAAACACTTCTATTTCCTAATAAAGATAAGCACACATATAAACACAGACACATGTAGGCCATGCCAAGTGAAACAAGTGTTGTTGTTTTTTTTTAATCACAGTGCCAGAAGCAAACATGACCAAAGCAAGCAGATACTTACACCGGACACCAAGCATGCAGTACGCTCAGAATCAGAGTGGTCATTCGCTAAAAACAACGTCTACAGGGATGAAAATCAGGATGTGAGCATTTTCATTTGATTAATGATGGTGAGAAGGAGAAGGACGGGAGGGGGATGGAAGGCCGCTGGTCTCGAGGCTGGGAAGAATACGAGCCGTGTGGGATAGGTCTGACCTCACACAGCCTTCCTTCAGCCGCACAGGACATGTGAGGTTGGACCTTTCACACACCACTGATATTATTCCTCTGAGTGGGGAGACCACAGCACACCATCACTCTACTGCAGACGGAGGAGAGAGGGTGAGGAGGGACGGAGGTAGAAAGCAAGAAAAAAAAAAAAAGGGGAGGACAGTTAGAAAACTGCATTCAAACAGAGAAGGAGGATAGAGGGAAAGTTGTTAGGTCGAGAGGGGTGGAAGAGGAGGGACAATACAAGACGGGGGAGAGCAGGAGTGAGGCAGTGTGCTGGTGGGAGGAATCCACTCTGACAAGGAAACAAGGCGGCCACAGTCAAGCCTCCAGCGGGCAGGACTCCCATCACACTGTCCACACAGCATCAGGACCAACGGTCACTCAGACAGAACAACGATGCCCACTGTGTCCTGAGAGAAAATCTACAACTCTTCACTCTGTATCCTTGGATACACGTTGTAGGTAAATACAGTGATCCTGTTTTACAATGAAGTAGTCTCACCCCCGGCATGTGTTAATAATAAAAGGTCCTAAATAAAGCTGTAGGTGTTAAAATATTACTGCATTGACCATGGACAACATTAAAGCTATGTGTACAATAATTTTTTGTTTTCTAATCATAAACATGCTGCATTACATACAAATGCCACACAGATTAACTTTAGGGGCAAAACTATAGAGAAACTAACCAACTCAAGTGAAGCAAGAATGTTGTAGATTATCACTTTGACTCAAACACAGTTGACAGTAAACAGTGAAAAAACACAATTTCATACAACAAACATAAAATAAAATTGTGAAATTGTGTATTTCAGGAGAATTATTCCTGCAGGTCCAAATGTTCAACTATGAGACTGTAAATCTGAATGTAATTCCATTTCTAATCCCTGGGGTTTTCCCGTTCTCATAGTGCAAGAGTTTGCAAGTAACAGGTGTGTGTCACGTCTTGTATACTGCTCATCCTTAGAGGCTCACGGGATGGTTGGGCTCAATCCAAGCTAACATTGAGCGGGAGACGGCTTACACCCTGCACTGGAAATAGCCTGATAGAAATCAGGACAGGAGCACTACCAGCAGTAATTAAAATATGTTGAGGACACCACAAGTGAATGGAAGGGAAACCGTGACTGTAGGATTAATGAGCCGGAGGAATCCTTCTGACACAAAAACACTATTTTGACCAAGTTCCGCCTGAGGGCAGATATCCTAGACTGGGTAACGTTGCCTCTTCCTGGACACTCTGGGAACAGCCGTCAGAATAAAGGAGGTACGATGGAAGGGACGAGGTGGAGGAGAAGCCCCGGCCCCATTTATCACCTTCCCTGGAGACCCTGTAAATTCCACCTGCCACCTCCAGGCCCCGGTAAACTCCCCAGCATGCACATAGAGTAGTGCACAGGCGCATAACAGCGATCAAGTCAGGCACATGCACATCAGACACATTCATATTATGGTACAAGATATGGTGGTGTACACGGACAATATTTGAAAAGAACATTAACTGAATTGAACTGCCTTTTTTAATTCAAAAACTGTTTATTTGCGTGTGAATGAGAGGTGTGCCGTCCACCCACATCTCGAGTTTGTGTTTATTTCGTTAAAAAGCATCAAGGAAAGACATCTTGGCAGTATGTGGTTGTTGGGGTGCAAATACCGATTAAATCTCAGTAACGTGCAGCTCTCTCACCTGATTGGCTGTATTGATATCAATGCCATTTTTTATATGGTCCAGGGCCTTGTCCAGGTTGCCAGAACGGGCCGCTCGGAGAAAACTGTTGCCAGCATCTGCCTGCAAGCGTAACAGAGAGAGGGAAAGGGAGGACGGGGTGAGGCGTGTGGCGGTGGGGGAGGAGCAGTGTGGGGTATAAGAGGAGGAGACACGTAAAGTAGAGGAGCAGAGAGGGGAAGCGGAGAGGGAGACAGAGTTTGGTTAATATTTCATTAAAAAGGAATCTGAAGGTGTGAAACCTGACAGTTGTGACCCCCAGTTTTTCTCTCTCACGTCACTCCGCCCCTTGGGATTTCTAACAGTGCGATTCGACAATCCGCACTCGCACCTTGAAATGTGTGCGTTGAAGGTGTGCTGGACGGACAGGGGAGAGTGGTGGAGAACACAAACCACCTGGGCTCAACAAAACGGCCAAAACAGTCAGCTGTTCTCAGGTGAAAGGGTAATATTGAAAATGCTGACAACTACTGGAAGGTCTGTTATGCCCGGCAGACTGTTGTCTCTTTGTCTGGAATCTGAGTGTGTGTGTGTGTGTGTGTGTGTGTGTGTGTGTGTGTGTGTGTGTGTGTGTGTGTGTGTGTGTCTGTGTGTGTGTGTGTGTGTAAGCCAAAGGCACACAAGGTGGATGGAGAAAGGAGTGTAAGAGCGAGAGAGGGAGTTTAGCGAGTCCCGGCTCACGGGCCGGCACATGGCATGTCTGGTGTTTTTCTCTGTGTTTCGTTTGAGGTGGAGGGCTCGGTGCCCCTCCCTGGCGGGCAGGGGGTGCTGCTGAAACAGGATCACTCATGCGACACAGAGGGGAGAGCGAGGGAGAACCACGGGAAGAAGCTCGACTGCGGCAAACCCTGCACTTCTTTCATGTCATTTACATAATCTCCTCTCCCCCCGTGCCCACCCCCTTCCTTCATCACTCCATCCAACCAGCTATCTCAACACTGCTGATCGGGAAACTCTTCAGCCGTGCAAGTATATTTTAACCCGGGGAAGAGATTCAGTATAACAGTTGCTTGCTGATCCAAAAGAAACCCCCCAAATGCTGCTCTCATGCACCACAAAGAAATACCTTTGACAAAGATGGAGTGAGCATTAGTTTAAAAAAGAGAGAAAGGACTTACATGCCTGAAGTTGAGGCATGGCAACAAATGACACAACACAACCTCAGCGTGACACCACCGGCAAGAAAGAGGTCACTTTAAAAGAAGAAAGGGGAAAGGAAACAAACACTTTGAAAGCAAAGTTGTTACCAGCTGATTGAAGAAGGATAATTCTCACCATATCTGGTGATGACAGAAGAACTTCCTACAGTGTGACTGTCTGTTTTGCTCGAATATCATACTGATCTGCAGTACAAAGTCTCTGAGTATCACGACCAACAAAACTCTCCTTATGATATTTAGATAATTATTCTGCTATGAAGCTAGAAGAAGAAATTCAACATATGTTTAAAAGTCTCCAGACCACCGTCCCTAGTTTGGTTTTTTCAGTGTCTCAGTTGTGTCTACTCACACTTGCTAAGGCAGCTCGGTAGGACATGTTCTCCCTCTGCTTACTCTCTCATTCACTTTCCCTCTGAAAAACCCTCCCAGAGCAACACACTGACCCCAGAACACCTGCCATCCTGTGCACAGACATTTGCAATAATACAAATTACTAGTTACACAAGATTTGCATACAGTGCAGTTTTTATGTCAGACTATTTGCAATTATTTTTAGGAAAGGTGAATGAATCTCATTAATTAAAAGTTTATGATGGATCATTGTAGTATGAAACAATTTAAATTATCGCAGGAAGACTGTTTTATAATGAAGAGTTTACAACCCATACAATGACTTTACACAATGTAGCGGGGTGCAGATTGTTTGACGACTCTGCCATGGTGACGTAGGAATTTCCTTTTCGTCCGAGTAAGAGTAAATAAAGCGGATTGAAAGGCACATACAACCTAGCACAATATGCATGCCTCCACAGAAAATGGTTGCTCGGTAAAACCATGGTGACCCTGACCGAGGCTCATCTGGTGGATTCCTCCACCCCCCAGACTCCGCTCACCGCCCCTCAGAAGGAGCAAAAGTAAAGGTTTGCAAGACCTCGCTGACTCACACAAGAATCTCCAAAGACTCGAGCTAGATTATTCCGTCGTGCTGGTCAGTCCTGCATGTGTCTGAGTTAATCTGCCTGCGTCATGAAGTGAGTGTGTGGTGTGGGGAGATAAGGATGCAGGGGAGCCACACCCACCCACTCACAGTACACACGCATTTATACCAGGAAACACTAACACACACACACACACACACACACACACACACACACACACACACACACACACACACACACACACACACACACACACACACACACACAAAGAGCAGCCTGGGTCAAATATGAGTGAACGTGTCCCTCCTTGATTATTGGAGTGGACGAAAAAGGAGCAAGCACATTAATCACACTATTTTAAACTAAGCGAACTAAACTAACAATAACCAGCAGGTTGAGGTTAACAATGCGACCAGACTGTCGAGCAACGTGTGTGAAACTGAAAACCCTGAACTCTCCTCTCCCGTCTTTTATCTCAGCTTTTCTGTCCTGTTGCCGTCCTTCCCTTCGCTGTCCCTTTGCTTCTTACAACCCCCCCCCCCCCCCCCGCCCTCTTCCTTTCCTTTGCTTCCATTTTGGTTGTTGCTGGCAGCAGGACCAGAATGACCATCCTTCCCCCCCCCTCAACTGTTGGAGTGCAGTTGTTCAAAAACCCCAATGTATGCATGCGTGTGTACGTGTTCACGGGGAGGCACGTCTGAGATCAACATCCCAACCACCCACGAGCCTCCGCAGGGGACGACTGCACCTGAAAACTAATCATTGTGATGAGATAGAGTGTGTGTGCGTGTGTGTGTGTGTGTTTGTGATTGTTCTGAATGGATCCAGGTTTATGTGTGTGTGTGTGTGTGTGTGTGTGTGTGTGTGTGTGTGTGTGTGTGTGTGTGTGTGTGTGTGTATGTGATTGTTCTGAATGGATCCAGGTTTATGTGTGTGTGTGTGTGTGTGTGTGTGTGTGTGTGTATGTGATTGTTCTGAATGGATCCAGGTTTATGTGTGTGTGTGTGAGGAGGGGGGGGGGGAGAAGAAGGCATGTAAGGCATGAATGAGAGTGAGAGTGTTAAACTGCATTAGTGATGTAATATCATAGATAACTTTCTGTTAAGCTTCTAAAATGGGCTTTAAATGTCTGTTTGTGATGCTATCTCTCAATCTAAAGTATCCCTGTCTAAACTGTATCCCTCCTTCTATACAGATGCTGTAATAATAAATAAAATCACAGTATGATTCTAGCGAAGGATGCAGTCTACTGCTATAAACCACCATTCCTAGTGCAATACATTCATTAAAGCTTTTATTTATATAAGCATGTTTCTGCTTAATCTATGTATAACAAAAAAGCATAGAGCTTTTCTTTCTAATACCTTTAATAATCTTTATAATCATCAGCCTGTCATTTCCTTTCTAACAGTCTACAAGATTACTTTGCTGTTGCAAGAGACAAACCCTTTTCCACCGACTGTCGAAGCGATAATCTCTGCACCAAAAATCCAAAGTGATTTTACTTTGACACAAAACTTTTATCTGCTTAAGATAATCATAATTAGATAAGCATTTCCACTAAAATTAACGTACACAACCACAGAGCCTCTCACTGAACCAAATAACAACCAACAAAAACAAGAATTTGCAGACACAGCAGAAGCTAGAAATCATAAATAATTTAAGTGCCACCAAAGGTTTTTCTACAGCCAGCAGAAAGCTGAAAATAAGGTGCCCATGTATGTTCGGAATGTCTCAAGTACTGCTTCACTTGCAATTATTTCATGAACTTTAAACAACCTAAACTGTGCAAGCACCCCACACTCTATGCGATTTCTTTCCCCGGCTTAACTCAATATGTCGATGTGTCAAAACAAACACTACGATTGGACGGCTTCTATACATTCTTGAGGAACACCGAATAACGGATATGGAAATTACTGCAGAGTGCTTAAACAGCCGTTTCATCACCCCTTTTTCTGCTGACTCGCATTTGTTCTAGAAATTGATTGTCTTTTTTTTTTTCTAGGCCTCCATCTGAGCCTCCATCCCTCAGGCGGCCCCCGAGAGGTGGAGCAGGCAGAAGGCTGTTTCCGGCTGCAGAGACGTAGTAAGTGAGACCGGTGGGACTCCTCAGCTATGGGCACATTTATAAGAAGCGAGCGAGCTGATCACTGGGATGAAGCTTTTACATCCCCCCCCCCCTCCCTCTCCAACACTGTCTGTCAAGATGTAGATCCGTCTGTCTGCTTCTATTCCCTGTACGCAGTAAAGCGTCCTGTCCCACTTTTGCTATTTACTTTCTCACACTCCCAGCCTCCCCCTCTGCACACCCCACTGTTTGTGCCCGACGCACTCATTGATCGTCTCTTTATATCTGGCCCTGCTGCTGCCTCTGCGCCTGGAGATGAGATTGTCATGGTTAGCGTGATCTTTTGTAATGGTGACAAAGACGAAGAAAGCCAGAGGGAGGAGATAGAGTCTGGAACCCGTGGGTCAAGATACGGTAAACATCCTGTGTTTTACGCAACAGTCATTTTACAAAATGTATCTGTCTGGAGGAACAGAGACAATATAATATAAGCAGGTCATGCTGACTGATTTGAAACCTATAAACTGTAGAAGTAAAGCTTCAAGTTGCACTCTCCATTTAGCTTTATTCTCAGGTGTTCACTGTTGTTTGCGGTGGTGGAGGTTACCAAGTAAAAGTATTTCGAACATTCATCCTACTTCACCCTACATTTTAGAGTGAAATATTGTACTTTTTGTTATTTGAAACACAGTCAAAGATTTTGACAACAAAAGATTGAATAAGTTTGTAAAATATGTTTGATTAAAATATATTGATCAGTATAAAAAAAACAGCTGTGAAAACAGCACCGAGATACGAAATGAAAACACTGTTTACATGTTGAAGCACCAACAATAACGCATAAAGGCCTACAGTGTAACACCCTGTCAGGCTTCTTTAACCTTGCTTCTGATACAATGATACTTCTGTACTTTTACAGATACGATTTGTAAATTGGTGTACTTCCACTTTTACTTTGGTAAGGAATGTAAATACTTCCTCTACTACTTCTCAGTTACAAAACTGAAAAAACAATCGCTATACAGCCAATACTCATCAGACAGACGTGACACACTGTAAACACCATAAGCACATTCCATTAACTTGCATCATCTCCTCTATTTCTCCGGGTAAACTGCGGTGGACAGAAATTGGCGCTCGTGCGCATCTAAGCAGTAGGACCTTTAGAGCAGGCGATCAAACAGCCTGTAGTCCAGTGAAGCCACACTGGAAGAATCTCATTAATTGACCCACTAATGAGTTTACTGACCCGACAGTTTACTTACCCCAGCTGACCTCATACAGTCTGAACATCAAACAAGGGAAGAAATTAAGTAAAAAACAAGATTAGGGAGGAAAAACAGACCAGGATACACACCCACACATATACGCACTTACACTAATCTCGGCTGCACATGCATTGCAACCTCAGAGGAACTGCCAGGCGATCCCGCCCATGTTGCTTGGGGAGGCTGAGTTAAATAATTCGATCAGGACGGGTTATGTCTGGGGCAATAAGCAATGACCTGCGTTCTGCCGCTCCATCGCTTCTTTTGACCTACGATTACAGCAATTTAGTGACAGATGATTTTCTTTTCAAGCGGGATCAATGTTTACACCTCCAGGATCTGCATCTCTCTCTGTCTCTTAATTTCCCACCGTCTCAATTAATCCGGACAAACCGAAAACAAGAACAAGCCTTGAAAGCAAAGCCAGGGAGAAGTGTACCGAACAAGTTTGTGTGGACCGATGAAGAGTACAGGAATGGCACTTAGCAAACCCAGAGAGAGGCACGGACAAAGCGCATACAGATCAATACTAATGTGATAGAGGCAAAGTAAATAAGAAATGGGTTGTAAAAATGTATTGGCCCATCACAAAATGATCGCTCCATCGCTTTCTGGCGTGAAAGGATGAAGACAAGCAGCAATGGCAGGTTCATTACATCTGAGAAAGTGCAACAGAGGATTCTCTACGAGACGAAAACATTGTAAAAAGAAGGCGGTGTTGCATTAAGAGTCGCAGATGGACGCACAGGTGGAAATGGAGGAAACGAAAACACAGAGAGAGCGACCGGAAAAGAGATGAAGTCGGAAGAAGAGGAGGTGGTACTCACTCCAAAAGTGACGGTCTTGACTGGCATGCCTGTTGGCCCTCCACTCCCTCTTTCTTACGCTTTCTGTGCCTCTGAAACGCACAGCTGTCTTTTCTGTTGCCCCCTCCAAGTGCTGCGTTACAGGGCACGCAGACCCCCGTCCAGCGTAAACACCAACACACACATACATACATACATGCGCACACGCCCGGACACACACTTGAGTAAGCACGGTGGGTGGAGAGACCGAGGAGGGTGGGGGTTGAGGGGACGGGGCCCAGAGGGGTTTATCTCTAGAGGAATGCTGCCTGTATCTAAAGACACACATTTCACACACGGCCAAAAACAAATGGGTGCCTCACACGCACACTCTCGCCACGGCACTGGTGACTACAACCAGGCCTTTTTCCATTCCACCAGCTTTACACTTGTTCTCTCTGCCGTCTCCATCAGCTTTCTTCATCCCTCCATCCCGCTCTGTGTCCTGCTCTCTACCTCATTCATCCTCTCCACCTTTCAGGTTTCGTTGCACCAAACACCCTTCGTCACCCAAACTTCATCCCTCCATTCTCCTGTCCCTTCTTCCCCACCACGTCACGCCCGTCTTTGTGTCTCCTGTATGTTCAGTGACAGCCAGACAATCATCTTTTTCACGGACCGGCCGTTATGAGAATCGGTGGAGTTGCTGTGGAGAATGGGTGTGATTTCTCAAAGTGGGACTGTTTGAGTCTGTGAGGTGACTTACAGTGACAAAGCGCTTGGCGGAGGGGGGGGGGTGGTGGGATGGGGGAGGGAGGGGGTTGCTGCTACCGCCCCGTGACAATGGGCCAGACACATGGGGTGGGGGGAGCGCGGAGGGGCCAGCCCCTCAAAAGGCCCTGCCTCTTCTAATAAAGCGTCTGTCATTCCCTGGTTGAAAAGGCCTTCTTTTCTCTGCCTCTCCCCTCCTCTCTCCCTCTCCTGGCTAAATGCTGGGAAAAGCACATCGCTGCCAAAAACCACGCAGAGAGATAAATGCTCGTAGGCGAGGAGAAGGAGGGGACAGTGTTGAAAGAAGGCTACGCACTTCTCAGCGCCACTGGACCGTGACCTGTGCAAAAAACATCACGTGGGGTGTCTCTCCTGTCCACAGCGTTGAGTTTGTAAAGTGATGAGAGCTCCATTGCCAAAGAATGTTGGGCAGGGGGACTACGGCCAATAATGTCCATGAAGAAATTACAAGTTGTCCCATGTTCTTTGACACTAAACACCTTTGGCTCAGCCTGCCAAATATAACCCAACTCCTCGGAGGAAAAGTTCTCCACATAATAATCTGTCGGGTCCTAATTGATAAGAGCTCCAGAGGATTCCTCTGGAGGTGTTGAACCTTATGGACTTAAAGTTCAGGTAACCTTCCAGTCAAAATGGGTTCTGCTTTTAGCTATTTGTCTTTGATGTTTGAGCTTCAGGGTGCAGAACGATGTTGGACACCAGGAGTCTGTTTTTATTTTCATCTGCACAATGAGGAAAGTGCTCCCCTTGAATCTGAATCTGTTGTGGACCCTGTCGGGGTCCAACAACAGAAGCGGGAACCTTGAAGCCTATAAGATAACTTGTGTTCACTAGATTAAACAAGTGAAAGTTGATTTTCCTAAGAATATTTAATAAACCCTAAATTAACTTTCTGGGAAAACAAAAAGACAAAAACATAGAACATATTCGCCAAGCAGAATATTTAAAGGATACAATGTCTGAAACTGATCGTTAACAGGATTCATTTAAGTTTGGGCGAGACGTGGCCTCTGCCCCTCTCGTTTGCAGGATAAAAGGTTACAGATTTCCTACATGTGCTGTTTTATTGGCCGTGTCACAACGTCTCAGAGTAAGAAAATAGAGTTTAAAAGGCAGGCGAGAAATCAACATAAATGCTGATAGTGTGTCAGCTTTTTTTGGTCCTTATATGTGAACTTGGTCATTGCCTTGGGTGGCAATTTTGCAAAATGGAAACGCTGCATGTGGGAATAAGGAATTACTGCAATATTTAAACAACTGAGACCATCTTTATTGAAAAATACGAGGGTATCGGGGCAGCAAGTGCTACAAATGTAGCGATTTGTTGTTTAGATATTGTTGTTGTTTTGGTGAGGCAGCCTGAATGACGGCATGTGTGATACCATCTCTGCTGTTCAGAGGAGGCAAAGATAACTGGAAGAAGATATATCTCATGCATGTCACCGCGCCGCGTAAGGATCTTAAAAAGAATTGTCTTGAGACGGTTCAATATTCATACTCATCGCTATTCTGTTTTCCAAAGAGAATCATAGTAAAAATGTAATACACTGTGTGTTTCTGGGATATGAGGAATTATACAATTTAGATTTGCCATAGCGGCCGTCAGCATGGGGCTCTGCAGTATTGGCCTGCAGCAGCTTAACAAAGGGTATTTGCAGGGTCCGGTTGATTCCTGCAACCCTGGCACAAAGGTCCCTCATACAATAACGCACATACACACAATCACACGCGTTCAACTCCTTGTCTCGTGCTTCAGCTTCTCCTCAAAAGCGACATCAAAGTGGCCTGGCCCTTGAACTGACAGAGGAGCATTAGCGGCAGGTGTTAAAAGGAAGGCAGGTTACACGTCACATGGCATTGCACAGTGACTGGCTCACATGTATAGATCCCATCACAAACTTTACACATTATGCAGCCTGAACAAAAGCACAGAAAAGATCAGGGCAACAGAGAAGAGTGACAACAGCAATCTGTCAACACAGAACCAGCATGTATTGGTGGAGGTGGAGGAGTGCAGCACAGGAGGAAATACAGACTGAAGATGTCCAGAATGAGAGAGGAAGAGAATCACTGTGGACAGAATCTCTCCCCATGTCTCCCTCTCTTGAGTGTTAAAGCAGGCGCAGAGATCACAGACTCCATCATTTTAAAAACAAAGGCTATAACCATCATTCATAACCAGGCTCGAGTCAGCATCCGAAACCATCTGAGCAGCCAGAACATAATTCAATCTGTTTGATTAATGGACAGAGAGCTGACTCTTTCCAGACCTAATGTATGTATGAATGTATGAACAAAAACACCTTTTGGTGGCTGGTTTTACAGCTTCAATGTAAATAAGAACGAATGATGGTTTTGGAGGCAGATATTGAATTTTGAATGATTTCAGCGGGAAACAAATAAAATTATGATTAGTCATCATTCCTTTCTAACATTACATTTTTATAAAAATGAATTCAATTAGATCACTACACAGTTTACTGTTGAATAATAAACTTGTCAAACATAATATTACCAGTAAATAAAAGTTTTAAACAGTAAATAGTATGATCAATAACACATAAGCAACACACTTTAAAACCCTGGTTTTAGAAAACCTTTATTTAAAATGTTTTAAACGTTACAATTGATAGATTTCTTTTAACTATGCTGTACAAACTCTACCTTACTATTATAACGTTGAGACCCCAATTGAAATATGTTTATTAGGTTGTATTTTCCAATTATTGAGGGCGTCCTTCTCCATTATATTTTTTATGTTCCCTTGATTTTAAATTTGTCTTTATGTCAGCCTACAATTTGTCATTTCCATTTATACCGAGGCAGCAGCAAACGTTTGTTTGGGCTTCCCTCAGTGCAGCAACAGCTTAATCTCTGACCATAAAGAGCACAAGCGTTGAGGAAACAGGCCGGGAATGAAAAGATGACGGAGATGGAAAGAGTAAGACATCTCTGGCGCAGCGGCAACTGCGCTGATGAATGTGCCTGGACTGCTTCACTGAACTCAGTAGATGCTTGTAAAGTATCTTCTTCCACAGTCTGGTTGAAAAGTGTGACGGCATCTTCATCTGCTCAGCATTGCTGAGTCAGACCCCGATTTATTTCTCACCTCTACCCCACCCTCTGATACACACATATATTTTATCAGCGTGCTACCTACACATCTACACAAAGATAGACCTGTACAGTCTGCAATGTAAAGTCAGCTCCTTATTTTCAAATAAATACATTTTTGATGCTGCTTTCAAATAAAATATGTAATATCTAATGCTTCAAGGGCCAGATGCTGAGCTGCCAAGTGCATCTGAGAATGACACGTTTATAAATATTAAATACATGCATTGAAGTAAGACCTTCTCATCCGTAACTGCAAGGGCAGTTAAAAGATAAATTACTGAAGTAAATTACCTCACTACCTCTGTCTGCTCACTTAATGCTGTCTGACAAATACAACAAATAGACTCTAATACAGATTCACTCACCACACACTCATGTAGGCTCACGTCAACACACGCATTCACCCACAGTGCAGTACATGCAGATGCATAACACACACGCTCACTCCCATTCCACACTCATATGCAGCTCCCAGCAACCTTCCACATCCTGGCGTACACTTCAAGCAGCAGTATGTTCAAACTGAGCAACATGTGAGGAAGCCAAGTTGTGTTCTTGTTTTTTTGAAGGTGTGAAAAGCTGTTTTTTGAGTCATAAGTTGGACGAACAGATGCAACACAATTCCAGCCTGATGGGGCCTGAGGAAGATCCTTTTGCATTCCTCATAAAGATTCAGGTAGAGGAGCTGAAAGCATATGCACAATTATATACATTCAAATTATTACCATACATTAATTATAATGCATTCTGATCATTTTGTCGTGGTTTTATACACCCACCACTCTGCAGCAGTATCATTTTGAATCCCCGACTTCAAATCCCACTGATTTTTGAGAAGTTGAACTCACGCTGAACTCGATAGTAATGGTTTCATGCACTCTAATCCAGAGAGTTCTCTCTTCCACAGTTAATAAAAGTGTCACAGACAGCCGGTATTAACACCTTTGAGGTTTAGTTGTGGGCTGCATAAAAATACTATTATGTATCACATTATAGGTGCTTAAAGGTCACTTCAAATTAGAAAGCAAAAGCCCCCTATAGGCGTTGCCAACAATACATTAGAATACAAAAATTACAACTAATGGAAGCAATTATACATTACTTTTGCTGTTCTTTTCAGTTTATGTTTATATCTGATTTTTTAAAAGACTGAGTAGATCCGTCTTGGCTAGTTAGCTTAGACTGCTAACCAGGTCTTGGTCACTTCTAGGGCCGGCCAGCTGGAAATTTATGGATGACTTGCAACACTACATATTTTACTCTAACTGTATAAACAATTTGGCATTTGAGCGGACATGAATGATCAGAAAAGGAGTTTTCTACAGCTTTCAGACTTTTCCTTCTTTTGGAGTATACGTCATCCGTTACCATGCGCATTCACCTCAAACACATGCACATGCATGCATTCATGCTCATTGATTGTCGCTCAGATTCCATCACTCTATTTTTCTTTTCACCAAAATAAAACCTCAAATTGATGATAAATAAGTTGTCCAAAACTTGTACTTTTGATAGATAAAGAAATCAACTATAGCATTTATTACTTTGGTTGACCTTTGGGTAAAGCCAAAAACACTATGAATTGAAAGCAAATGAATTGAATAAATATTAATAACATATTTTAATTTTAAAAGTCACAGGTGAAATACGGTTTAATCATTCTCTAAAACTTTGTGCACAACAAGCTAAACATTGAGGAAGAAGTTCAAAATAACTTCATATTGCTTTGAAAAAATATGATGAGTTTGAACTGGTCCTTTACACATTTCATGACACA